GAAGCTGAAATCAGTAATTTAATTTTGTAAATTGTTTATCGAATTTCTTACTGTTTTTTTTAATAATATATTCTTTTTGTTTTTACGGTTTTCAGAAATCATAAAAAAGGTGATTTAATTTAAAGTAGACCCAGAAAATAGTTTTTGATGATTTGAAGAAATAATTCGCTTTGACTTGTTTCTTAAATTAATAGTTCAATTTTCTTTGAATTAAAATAAAATTAGGTATTTGATTCAAAGACAGTCTATAAAAAAAACCTTTTGATTAAAAAATCTTTATTGCTTGAAAGAACAATTTTTTTTTAATCAATCAGAACAAATTTAAGAAACTGATGTCTTTACATTAGGAAAATTTTTTTTTTTTTTGAATGTGAAGTACTTTGAGGAATTTTTTCTTGGTTTAAAGTATAATAAAGAAAAATAATTTGCAAAACAAAATTATTGATGTCGATGTTTTTAATTAAAACCATTTCGATGGCAAGAATAAACAGCAAAACTGCAATAAATTGTGTGTTTAAAATGTAGAAACTACAAGCGCCATTCATAAAAATCGCATTTTCAAAAAGTAGTCACATTTCTGTGATTGAATGCGTTAAATTAGTACATATATTTAAGACGTTACCATACACTATCGAAAGTCTAACATTATATTTTGAAATTGTACCTTGAAAAACTAGTTTTTTTTTTGTTTTTTTGTTTTTTTTTTTTGCTGAATGCTGTTATCGTCATTTCCCTTTCACTTATTCTAGTGCAATAAAATTCATGCACCTGTGAATGGTATCTTGTTTACATTCACGTTTTCTTACACTATATTTGTCCCCAGAGTACTTTTTTTTGCACATTTGTTTTATTATCAGTGATCTCAATGCCACTTGGATTATTAAGAAATATATTTGGATTTATTCTGAAATAACATTCAATAAATAATCGTTCTGCTTACTTTGCTTTCTCAAAGTAATTGTATATGCATTTGTGAGCAAAAAAAAAATTGAAAAAAGAAATGAATAAACAACATTTAATAGACAGAGGGTTGTTATGATTTAAATCAACTTGATTTAAATCAGGATTTAAATCAAAGACATGTTTTCATTTTAATCATGATTTAAATCATATTTTTACGATTTTTACTTAAAAATAGGTTTTTTAATCAACTTTAACTTAATAAGGAAGAATCGAATAAAGAATCAGAAAAATCAGAATAAAAAATTAAATCTTTAATTTTAACTATGGCAGAAATTCAATTATTTTCAAAAATTTGAATAAAATTCTGAGCAAAATTTCAATTATCTTTACAAATAATAGAATTCTTCTTTAAAATTCAATTATTTTCAAAAATTTCAATAAAATTCTTAAGAAAATTTCAAGTATTTTCAGAAATATTCCTCAAGTCACAATAACTCAATTGTTTTCATAAATAATAAATTTTTTTTCAGGGATTCAATTTCTTTCAATAATAATAAAATATTTTTTAGAAATTAAATTATTTTCATCAAAAATGAAACTCATCGCAGAATACAATTTTAATCAAAGTCCTCGAAAAAAGTAATTATTCTTAAAGTTTTATTAAAATTCGCCAAAAGAATTCAATTATTTAAAAAAAGTTTTATTAAAATTCTTCTCTGAAATTCAATAATTTTTAAAAAAATTACAATAAAATTCTTGTCAGAAGTTCAATTATCTTCATAAATAACAAAATTTATCGCATAAATTCAATAATTTTCAAAAATTTTAATACAATTCGACGAGAAAATTCAATACGTTTTATACCTAATAAAATTCTTTGCATGAATTGAATTATATTTTCAAAAATTTCAAAAAAATTCTTCTCAAAAAACTAATTTTTATTATAAATAATAAATCTCATCTCTAAATTTCAATTATTTTTAATACAATATAAATCAAATTCCTCGAAAAATGTTATTATTCTTAAAAATTTCATTAAAATTCTTCGAAAGAATTTAATTATTTAAAAATTTCTTGATAAATAATTTTTAATAGAATTCAATTTTATAAGAATCATAATATAATTATTTAATAAATTATTTATTTTTATTTAAAATCTTTGTAATCTGAATTTTTCAAAGTTTTAACTAACAATTCTGTCGTAGAATTATTTTTTTTTAAAAAGGTTTAACTGAATTTTTTTGAAAATTATTTGAAGTTATGTATATTTTCCAATATATATATTTAATTGAAAAATTTTTATGAATACTGTAAATTTTTGGTAAAATTAATTTGGAAAGAAATGGATTTAAAAATTCTCAATAGAAATTTTTGAAAAATTATTAAAAATAATTGATTTAAAGAAGAATTTTAGTTAAAAATTGTAGAAAATAATAATTGAAATGAAATAATGAAAATAATTTTGAATAAGATAATACAGTAACATAATATTCTTATAGTATAAAATAATGATTTTATTATTCGGTCATCTTTAATTATTATGAAGAAAGGGATTTTTTCATGATTTACAATAACATTCTTGTCATTTATTAAATTTCAAAAAGGTTTGAAGTTGAAATTTTTGAAAATCTTAATTCCTATGGAAAAATAATAATGATTATAAATATTAAAAAACCATGATTTTTAACAGCTCTGTTAATAATTTATAATTGGTTTGGAAAACTGCAGTTAATATTTCAATTATTGTCTTTCCATAAAAGTTGCTATGATACAAACTTATTTTTCATTGTAGCAATAAAAATAAAGGAAATAATTATTTTATTTCTCATTATTCCAGAAATAATAAAACACAATCTGGAAATATAGCAAAAAACAAACTATCACTAAAAATAAATTGATCGTGTCACAATTAATGGCAATAAAAATCTATTCATTTTAAAGTGAAAAAAAATTGTATTTCTAATTTAATATTTGATTTGTATTTTGTCTCGATTAAGAATCAGAGGGAAATTATTTCTTTATTAAAGAGTATAAAATTTAATTTAGTTATGGGATTTTCAAGACGTGTTCCCTTCCTACAGAGTATCATTATCGTTAAAGCAATATCTGACATAAATTCAATACTTTGAGCGGTTTAGATCTGGATATATGGAGAATATTCCTTGACAAATATTAACGCAATATAAGTACCCATTATTCGTGCAATGAACCCCCTTATGATTATTACGCTCGAATAGTTACAACAGCGGTCCGGCACTATAAACTTTCACTACTAAAATAAATTGGTCGAATCAAAAAATTCTTGACAGTGTCGAACTGCAAAAGTTCCGGTACAAAATAATGCAGTCATGTGGAAAAAATTGCAAATATTATGCCTTTGGACATTATACGCGTCCAATGTCTTTAAGTAAACTGTAATTCACTTTCAATAGATAAATAAATTCCGTTTAAGTGATTCTGTAACATCGCTTTTGTTAATAAAGTTTCCAGTAATTATTCCAATTATAAAAATTATTAATCTTTGTTTATTTTTTTTTCTGTATAACAGATTTTACAGTAATATTTTTCTTCCTTATTTTGAGAAAATGTAAATTTAAAATGAAACAAAAGATGAATTTGGTTTTGGATTTTATTTAGTTTTATGTCTTATTCTACTAAAAAAAATTATTATTAGCTAATACGTGAATTTTCTTTTAAATTTTGAGACTGAAATTATTCGAGAATTGAAGTTGATATTTGAAAATAAATTTTGTAATTTGCATAATAATAATAATAATAAATGAATCATGAAACTTCATACGATATTCAACGTGTTTATAATTAATTTCTGAATCGATACAAAGAAATAAAAATTCTGCCTAGTGAATATAAAATTGTACTATGTAGGCCGGAAGTTCACCTTTTACAAAATATTATCAGCAAAAGAAGAAATTAGTGCAAATCATTAACAACCAGCTTTTAAATGTCCGTTATACTGAACTCGACAACTCTTATCCGTATTAAGAACTTCGGACCTGTTTCAAAGTCTGTGACATTTTGCTGTCCTTCTTAGATCAACTTTTGATCTCCTTTTTTACAGAATCTTGTCAGCTAATACGGGTCAAATGTTGTATTTATTTTTGCAAAACAGAGACAATACAATCTTCTTTCTTTATACCTGACTTTCAAATTTTAAATATTTCATTTATTTAATTTATTTAAATTTAAAATTTAAAAAAGCATTTGAAATCTTCTTTCATTTCATCGTGCTGACTTGTGTTTAATATTCAAGAGTAAGAAATATTAAAATTCAATCATGTTTTAATTTCTATTAATTAAAAAAACAAAATTAAAAACGTATTGTAATTTTTCTATAAAATATTTTTTCAATAAACACGATAATAATTACTATATTGATGAATTGATTTGAAATAGTTTCTTCAATTCTCATTAAAGCATTTCTTTTATTTCACATATTCGAGAAAAGATTTGAAAAATTTCTTACTTAAAAAACATTTACTTCAAAAGTAGTAAAATATATTCTGGAAATAATATTTAGTCAGAAAATTTTTGTAAGTTTCAAAAACTAATTTTTTCCAAAATTTGCAGAAAGTAGAAGTTTTCCTCTTATGAACATAATTAAAAAATTTCTATCTTACAAAAAGATTAAAAATTTAAAAAATTTATATTTAAAAAGTGAATACTTTATATTTAAATTGAAAAAATTAAAGTTTTACTAAATTTTTGTTAGTTTTAAAAATTAAAATTTTAGAAAAAAATTTTAATTTTTTCAATTTTACTGTCTTTTGACATTTTTATTTCTCGTCAATATTTTATGTGTGAAAAAATGTTTTACAAATAATGGACAAAATCAATAGGACTTTCTACTGTCCCACTGCTTTCTAAAATCCCCCTGTAAAAGTAAAAGTTATCCCATATAATTTATGTGAAATGTGTATATATAATTAAATTTTTTTTTCACATATAGGTATATAATAATATATGAATCAAAGGAAAAAATTTGGAAAGATAAAAATCTTATGTGCAGGGAAATACATGTAAATTGAATCAGTGATGATAAATAATTGAGAATTTTTTTCTTTTTTCCGATTTTACAGGGCTCGGACCCGAGAGTCGCCACTTGTAGAGGAAAGTTACAAAATAAGAGGAGTAAACTTAATCAGGAAATCAACAAAGAGCTTCGTCTTCGTGCCGGAGCGGAGAATCTTTTTAAGTTAGTATAGAATTATATTATTCACTGAAAAAAAAATTGAATTTTAGTTTTTAATATTTTTTTAGTCTTTAACATTTTTTTAAATATTTAATAACTTTTTTTTGTTTTTATGTTTTTAATATTCTTTTTGATTTTATTTCCGAAACAAAAAATAAGAAAAAAACATTTTTTTTTAGGGCTACAACTAACAGGAAATTGAAGGAAACAGTTGCCTTGGAATTGAGTTTTGTCAATTCGAATTTGCAGTTACTCAAAGAACAACTAGCGGAACTAAATAGTTCAGTTGAATTGTACCAAAATGGCGAGGGGTGAGTTTCAATATTTATTTTATATAACCCAACAAAATTAGTTACATAATTTTATTCTGTATTTTATTTTTTTACTATAATTGAATTAATTGAATTAATATTTAATTCCGGTCGGTTTGATATAGAAAATCAAATTTTAGTTACAACTCTGAATAAAATAAACGACTTTTCTTGCGCTTTAAAGTCGATCCGAGGGCAGATGACCTATTTTTTCATTTTCTGCTTTTAATTACTTTGTTAAGCGTGAAAAGACAGATTTTTGTGTGAATAACGCTAAGCGTTATACGAGCGGTAAATCATTACTTGGTCCCGTATGAGCCTGGCTTCCCGTTACTGAATATGGCGCTTTCTTCAGTTATACATTCGCATTTGTATTTACAAAGTAGTCATAAACAAAAATAATAAACTGAAAAAAGTCGTTAAAGAAATTATTGTTTTGCATATTAATACTGCAAAGTACATAGGAAATGTTTTTCCGTTTAAAATCCTCTCAAATTCTGCGATATTTATCAGTTATTTTTACAGTTTTCAAAACTTGAACTATTTTCAGTACTTAGAAGCAAATAAAATAAAAATACATGGTCTTTATGACATTTTTCCAAATTTAATTCGTCATAAATTATCTCTCAGGGTTGTCAAAGGTCAAGGAAATTCAGGGTAAAGTCAGGGATTTTTATTTAAAAAAAAAGGAAAAAAAAATTAAATTTGGTGTCATTTTTGTTTGCCTCATAAACTATTAACTGAATTTTAAACAAGTTGCGTTGGCAATTTTTATAAAAAGATGAACTTCAAAAGCTTTAATTTGAAATTTTACAAAATTTCAATTTTGAATGGATCTAATTAGAAATTTTATAGCACTTTTTTAATTTCTATTTAAAAAATTATCAAAAATAATGGATTTATAGAAGAATTTTAGTTAAAAACACTTAAAGAAAATGAATTTTAAAGAAGCTACAAATGATTGCAGAAATTCAATTATTTACAATTATTTTTTTTATGAATTTCTTCGCTGTAATTCAATATTATTTTCATAAGTAATAAAATTCCTTTCAGAAATTCAATTATTTTTTTTATAAATAAATAAATAATACAACTCATCGCAGAATTTCAATTTAGTTTTAATACGATTTTAATCGAATTCCTCGAAAAAAGTAATTATTCTTAAAAATTTTGTTACATTTCGCCAAAAAATTCAATTATTTAAAAAAAAAAATGATATTAAAATTTTACGCAAATATTCAATTATTTTTAAAAATGTCAATAAAATTCTTGTCAAAAATTCAATTATCTTCATAAATAACCAAATTCATCGTTTAAATTCAATTATTTTCAAAAATTTTAATACAATTCTTCGACAAAATTCAATTCTTCTCATACCTAAAAAAATTCTTTGCAAAAATTCAATTATTTTCAATAATTTCAATAAAATTCTTCTCGAAAAATTAATTATTTTTATAAATAGTAAAGTTCTTCGCAGAGCTGCAATTATTTTTAAAAATTTGAATAGAATTTGTTGGAAACATTCAATTATTTTCATAAATAATAAAACTCATCGCAGAATTTCAATTATTTTTAATACAATTTAAATAAAATTACTTGAAAAGTCGACAAAAAAAATTTAATTATTTTCAAAAATTTTAATACAATTCGAGAAGAAAATTCAATTTTTCTCATACCTAAGAAATTCTTTGCAGAAATTCAATTATTTTCAAAAATTTCAATAAAATTCTTCTCGAAATATTAATTATTTTTATAAATAATAAAGTTCTTGGCAGAGCTGCAATTATTTTTCAAAATTTGAATAGAATTTGTTGCAAACATTCAATTATTTTTATAAATAATAAAGTTCTTGGCAGAGCTGCAATTATTTTTAATACAATTTAAATCAAATTCCTTGAAAAGTCGACAAAAAATTCAATTATTTAAAAATTTGTTGTTTAATTCTTGGTGAGAATGCAATTTTAAGAAATATTCAATTATTCGATGAATTATTGATTTTTGTATTTAAATAATTGAATTCTTGTAGAATTTTCTAATAAAAATTAATTTAAAAATGAATTTCAGTTAAAATTTCAGATAATAATTATTGAATATGTATTAAAATCATTATAGTGTGGATTTCTAGAAATAATTGAATTTTGAAAAGATTTCGAATTCGATTGTATAGATCGAGAAAGAGAAATAATAATTAATAAGTGAAATAATAATGAATTGATCCCTGTAATTTATAGAGAATTTAAGCATTCTTTCTAGTTTATTTGTTGTAACTTGTAAAATTTCAACAATTTCTATTTTATGGAGAATTTTGGAAATTTCTATAAACAAAAACATGCAGAGCAAATTGATGTTATAAAATAAATTAAAATTAATTGAGAGAAATATTATAAAAGTCACTGTCGTTTTCGAGCCGCGAATCCAGAAAAGTCCGCAGTCGTTGTTTTGTCATTAGAAAGGACAAATTATTTTCTTAGAATGAACGTCAGCGAATTGTCAAGTTATGCCACAGCAGCATCAGCAGCTCATGGACCAGCTACTGCGAGGAATAACTTTCTTGCTTCTTGCACGACTAAAGACTGGAGAGAAATAAGGCAAATACTGCAATGATTTCAGCTAAATGGGACTTTTTTGTCTTCGGCACGACCATTACCTGAGTCAATACGACTGAGGCCAAAAAATAAGATTCATGCCTCTCTCTCTCTCTCTCTCTCACTCTTTCTTTTTGCTCTCGAGTTTTCATAAGATGAATTACTGATGGTAATTTCACGTTTTTTTCCTTGTCATTTTTGTTTTATTTAATGAAATTTTCTCGGTTTAATAGAAATTATTATGCTTTGCCGCTTTAGTCAGAGATTATGGAAAAATTGTAAATTTCTTCTTCAAAATTGAATATCGAAATCATTATATCTATTATGCAATGATAATTGAGATATAATGTTTATGGTAATTTAATTCTGTGAGAATCCCCCTGAGAACTAAATTAAATTATCGAATTTTTCGAGACTATTTATTAATAATAGATATTTAGCCGGGCAATTTCATTTCTAATTTCCCCAGCCTACCAGAACCGTTATTTTCCGTTTAAAATCACTGGTTTGAAACTCGAAGTACAATGTTGCATTGAGGCGAGTTTGCAATTTGTAAAAGAATTTTTCTCGTTTCATTTTTCTTGCCTTGGCAATTGTAGGTGATGATTTTCAACACGCGCTTTGTGCTTGAGGCTTCGGAAAGTGTCGGAAAGTGTCGGAAAGCACGCATTAGGATGAAACACGTATGAGTGAAGTGAAGTTTCGCGATATGGAAGAAGTGTTCTCATCCATAAAGCGCATAGCATTTAAAGCGGTTTTGTGCCTACTTAAAGAGCGGCATTATGGGCATAGTATTCACATAGTGGGCGGACACTGACCCAGGAACCGAAGCATAGCGGATGGACCGGCAAACCGTGCACCTCGACGTGTAAGAAGGGCAACACTCGACTCTGAACTTGTATAATAGCACCCATAGATAAAGCATAGGGCATTTTTAATTCCAGTTCCTCTTCTTCGAATGAGAAATTCAGCAATTGTAGCGCAAAATTATTATTATTATTATTATTATTATTACATTCAGGGACAACAAATTTTAAAAAATTCATTTTTTATTAGTGCGTCTACTATTTTTGTTCCACAAAATTTCCGACTTTGTCCTAATTTTTCCCGTTTTTTTTTTGTTTTTTCACATATCAAATTTAAATTTATTTCATTTCGAACATAAATAAATCTACAAATGACTTCCAAATTTTTATGAATAATTAAATTCTTTTGACAAGTTTCTTTAAATTTTTTGAAAATAATGTTTTTTTTAATAATTTTAATTGAAAATTTGAAAAATAATTGAATTAAACAAAGAATTTTTTCAATTTTTTAAAATAATCTTGTCTTTTCATAATAATAATTGAAAATTTGATTAATTCAATTTTATTAAAATGTATTGATACTAATTGAATGTCTGCAAAGAATTTTACTATATTTATAAAAGTAATTGAATCCTTCCAAAGAATGTTATTACATATTTATTTAAATGTTTGCGTAGAATTTTATATTAAAATTTTTGAAATAATTGAATTGTGGAGAACAGTTTAATTATTTATAAAGATAATTGAAATTTTGAGGAGAATTTTAAAAAATTTGTAAACATAATTGAATTTTTAATAAATTTTTTTAAAATAATTACATTATTCGAGGAATTTGATGAAAATTGTATTAAAAATAATTAAAATTCTGCAATGAGTTTTACTATTTATGAAAATAATTGAATATATTTTGCGAAGGAATTATTAAAAATAAAATTATAATTACGGTGAGACTAACTTCCCTTAATTGTTATCGAAAAATTAAAATAAAATTGTTTAAAAGAAGTTAATTATTTTTAATAGAATGTAAAGAAATTTCAATTATTTCAAAAATTTTCAATTATTTATTTATGAAAATTCAATTATCTTGAAACAACAGAATTCAAAAATGTCAAAAATCTTATTTTTCAGAATTTTCAAAAAACTTTGCGAAAATTCCATTTTATTAAAAAAATTTAAGTGTGTATCTCTTTATAAAATTCAATTATTTATTAATTATTAAATTAAAATACTATTTGAAAATTCGATTTGTTAAAAAGTTTGTAATGAAATTCTTAAATAATTTTATTATTTTCAGTTGAATTTCACATAACTTCTATTAATTAATTTTTCGAGAAGAATTGCATTGAAATTTTTGAAAATAATTGAAATTCTTGAAAGAATTTTTTAGGTATGAAAAGAATTGAATTTTCTCGTAGAATTGTATTAAAATTTTTGAAAATAATTTAATTTTGGAGAAGAATTTTATTATGTATAAAAATAACTGTCATTTTGACGAGAATTTAAAAATGTTTTTTACATTTAATTGAATTTTTGCGAAGAGTTTTATTACTTATGAAAATAATCGCATTTCTGCAATCGTTTGTAACTTTTCCAAAATTCTTTTTTTTAGTGTTTTCAACTAAAATTCTTCTATAAATTCATTATTTTAAATAATTATTTAAATATATATATATTACAAAATTAAAGTAATTTGAGAAGAATTTGAATTTAATTAAGAAATAGAAAATTTATTTATTTTGCATTATTTTTCTTTATGAATCACAATTTTTTTAACAAAATTATTATTTTGTTTTAGAAAAAGAAGAAAAATATTTGCACAATTCCTATTTTTAATCTTATTTTTGGAACTGGATTTTCCACACGAATTAAGACATTCAAAAATTTCAAATTCAAACTTTTTTTAAAATTTTTAAAACGACTTATAGAAGTATTGTTATAAAACATGAAGATATCGATTGCTCCGAGTCTTCGACTCGGAGTGATCGATTTCTTCATGTTTTCTAATAATTAAAAATGACGAAGTGATAAAATCATTATTTTATATTATAAGAATATAAGAATATTGTTACTGTAACCTCATCAAAATTATTTTCATCATTTTAATTCAATTATTATTTTCTAGAATTTTAAATTATTTTTTATGAAAATAATTGAATTCCTTAAAAAAAATGTATTATTTATGAAAATAATTGAATTCCTTAAAAAATTTTATTATTTATGAAAATAATTGAATTCCTGTGAAATTCGTATTATTTATGAAAATAATTAAATGTTTACATAAAATTTTATTAAAAAAATTTTTAAATAATTGAATTCGTTTTGAGAAATTTTATTAAAATCTTAGATATTGAAAATGGGACGCATGATTATTTCCCAAATGTCATTTTTCCGAAATGTCATTTTACCGAACTGCACTTTTGCGAATAGTCATTTTTGCGAAAAGCCAATTTTGCGAAATGTCACTTTTGCGAATTGTCATTTTTACGAAAATCTATTTTTGCGAAGGGGCCATCCATAAACCACGTAGCCTCTTGAGGGGGAGGAGGGGGTCAAGCAATTGACTACGACAAGAGGAAAAAATGGCGCTAATACATGTAATAGCGTACTACATGGGGGGAGGGGGGGGGGTCAAAATTCCCAAAAAATGGGGCTACGTGGTTTATGGACGGCCCCGAATTGTCATTTTTGCGAATCGCAATTTTTACGAATTGTCAATTTTCAGAAAAGTCATTTTTGCGAATCGCCATTTTTACGAATTGTCAATTTTCAGAAAAGTCATTTTTGCGAATCGCCATTTTTACGATTTGTCAATTTTCCGAAAAGTCATTTTTGCGAATCGCCATTTTTACGATTTGTCAATTTTTCGAAAACTCATTTTTTCGAATTGTCATTTTTACGAAAAGACATTTTTGTGAAATGTCATTTTTGCGAAAAGCCATTTTTGCGAAAAGTCATTTTTGCGAAAAATACAATAGTGAATTTATAGATACCTACAAGTTTCTATTGTATTTTTCGCAAAAATGATAATTCGCAAAAATGACTTTTCGGAAATTTGACAATTCGTAAAAATGGCGATTCGCAAAAATGACAATTCGGAAAATTGACAATTCGCAAAAATGGTAATTCGTAAAAATGACTATTCGCAAAAATGACATTTTACAAAAATGTCTTTTCGTAAAAATGACAATTCGCAAAAATGAGTTTTCGAAAAATTGACAAATCGCAAAAGTGACAAAGCGCAATAATGACATTTCTCAAAAATGACAATTCGCAAAAATGTCAATTCGCAAAAATGACTAATCGTAAAAATGACATTTCAGAAAAATCTCTTTTCGCAAAAATGACATTTCACAAAAATGTCTTTTCGTAAAAATGACAATTCGCAAAAATGACTTTTCGGAAAATTGACAATTCGTAAAAATGGCGATTCGCAAAAATAAATTTTCGGAAAATTGACAATTCGTAAAAATTGGCTTTTCGCAAAAATGAGTATTCGCAAAAGTGCAGTTCGGTAAAATGACATTTCGGAAAAATGACATTTGGGGAATAATCATGCGCCCCATTGAAAATCATTGAAATTAGAAAATTTTTTGAAAATAATTGAAATTAGGACAAGAATTTTTTTGACATTTATGAAAATAATTAAACTTTGAAGAAGAATTTTGTTATTTATTAAGATAATTGGGATTTTTTCAAATTTTGAACATAGTTGAATTTTATAAGAAGAATTTTATTTTTTTTTTTGAAAATAATTGAACTATTTGTAATTTCTCCAAAATTGAATTTTTTTTAGTGTTTCCAACAAAAATTTAAATTAGAAAATTTATAAATTCTATTATTTTTAAAATTGGTAATTTTATTTAAAAAAGTTAGTAAGAAGTTAGTTTGAATTGTTGCTAGTTAATAATAATAATATTGAATTGACGACTATTCAATTATATAATACGAGTACTCAAAATATAATTTCTAAACGTCTATGATAGTGTCAGAAAATGATACGAAAGAATTAATTACCAAAGGATGAGACAAAGAGACAGGTGAAATGTGACAAATGAAATGTGACTCTCAGGGGGTGCAGACAATAAAAAAAAGTGAATTTGAGACAATATCGATAGGAATATGGCACTCGTATAATAGGGACGAGCAACAATCATCAGTTGCTTGCACTATCGAGCATTGTACATTCACACAAAAAACAAAATGCATTCCGAGGTATAATAATTTACAACAAGCTCCATATCGATTTAGAATATCAATGAGAGGCTGAACCGCATATATCTTGCGGATGTATCTAACCGTGTATTTAAAAGCCCAGCAATAATAAATACATATAATAATACATTATTCCCCGATATTATTTTCTCCGCACAATATTTTCCGATTGTCTATTCATTTGTAAAATCTCCAATTGAATTATACGAACAAAAAAAAAACAAAATGTTAGCGGGAAAATTTCACTTGAGAAATTAGCACAAATTGTAAAATAATTATGTGCTGAAGTTTATTTATGAAATTAATTGCGACTTGAAGTGCATTCAAGCGCAGAAATATATAGCAGTTCGCTCCGAATTGTGTAAAATATTTAATACACATGTCTGGAATAATTAGCTACTTATATAATTTATGAAGTTTCAAATATTTTGTGTTTAGAAACTACTGCGCCGTAATTTAAATATTAATGCTAAGTGCACACTGGAAAAAAATTTATTTGCTATTATCAAAAAAATATTTACTTGAATATCAAATAATTTTTTAATTAAATATTTGTTTCAATAAATACTCTGAAAGTATTAGTTAGAAAATTTTTAAATATGCAAGGAAAAAAAGCTTCAATTGAAACAACTATATAAATTTCATTGTCAATTTTATGCGAAACGTAATTATTGTATCTGAAATTCTGAAAAGTTTTCCCAGTTCTTTAAAATATATAACTTTTCTACAAATATAAATTTCAAAGGTGAATTTTTACATTTAAAAATATGCAGAACCCTCAGAGCTTTACGCCTTGAAGGATAAACGTTCTCGAAGGTACAATTACACGAACTCTGTAATCAAGATTCCAAAGTGAAAGGGCTGCAAAATAATTATGCCACGTGAAGATTCATAAATATTGAAACGGTACATTTACTATTATTTTACAAATTATTCTGGAATTATTATTTATATTATATCGTAAAGTCGAGCCTTTTTTCGTATAAATAATTTATTATAGGTATGGACAGAAGGGTTAAGAAAAAAAATTTTAATTTGTTTTTCCCTAATTTCCAGATAGAATTTTGACTGGTCTCTACTCTCAAAATCTAAATTAGTAGAAAACCGTGAACGAATCGAACCTATTTCAATGGGAAAAAATAACTAATTATTAGTAAAATTAGGTAATTCAACAATGATACAAATATTTAGAATTATATTTTTTTAAAAATATTTTAATTTGAAATGCCTGTTCCTAAATCAAGATATAAATATCGGTGTAAAATAAAACACTTTAGGGCATTCTTAAAATTCTTGCCGCACTAGGTCGAAATTCTGCGGTCTAAAGTGTCAAAAATAATGTTTATTGGGAGCAAGTGAAAGTTGAAGTGGCTGATATAGACTCATTTGAAGTAATAATCACATAACTTGAAATACTAGTTTGTAATGTAAAATTAAGTATTTATTTCAAAAATGTAATCTACACTGATACTAATACTTTTTTAATATTTTCATGTTTTAGTGAAGATTCTATCATGCCCATGATACCGTTGGGACTGAAAGAGACCAAAGATATCGACTTCCGAGATCCTTTTAAAGTGAGTAGATAATCGTTTTTTCTTAAGAATTAATCGTACAATATTAAAACAATATCTTATTAAAATATTACTAAATATTCAAATTCAATTAAAATTTAATTTGATTGGATTTAATTGAAATTCAATTTAATTTGATTCAATTTAATTAAAATTCAATTCAGTTTGATTGAAATTCAGTTCAATTCAATTGAAATTCAATTACATTGAATAAAAATTTAATTCAATTTTATTGGAATTCAGTTCAAATTCATTGAATTAATTAAAATTTAATTGAAATTCAATTCAATTTGATTAAAATTCAATTCAATTTGATTGGAATTCAGTTGAATTTAATTGAATGCAATTGAAATTTAATTCAGTCCAATTTAACTGAAATTCAATTAAGTTCGATTGAAATTCAATTCATTTTGATTGGGATTTAGTTCAATTTAATGGAATGTAATTGAAATTCAATTCAATTTCAATTACATTCCATTAAATTGAATTGAATTGAATTTTAATTGCATTCAATTAAATTGAACTGAATTGAATTTCAATTACATTCAATTAAATTGAACTAAATTCCAATCAAAATGAATTAAATTTCAATCAAACTTAATTGAATGTAATTGAAATTCAATTAAGTTTAATTGAAATTCAATTCATTTTGATTGGAATTTAGTTCAATTTAATTGAATGTAATTGAAATTCAATTAAGTTTAATTGAAATTCAATTCATTTTGATTGGAATTTAGTTCAATTTAATTGAATGTAGGGGAGAGTGGGGCAAAATGGGGTAGGCGGGTCAAATGGGGTACCTCTGTTTTTCCATGATAGGTACTTTTAATTTTTTTATCCTCGACATATATCATTCATGTTGATAAGAAACTGTTATTAATTATGAAGACACTCCAAAGAAAATTTTTTTTTGAAAGTTATACAACTTTTAAGTTTTAAGCGAAAAAAATATGAATTTTTTTCAAAATTAAAGTGCTCTCCAAACTTTTTGGGATAATGCATTTAATTTGGCAAGTGTGGGATCTTTTTCAGTACTTATTCTAGAGTAATTTCCAATAGAATAGATTGTTTAATTGTTTACAATAACTTGTAAACATTGCATTTTGTTTTAATATGCAGTGTGGGGCAGAATGGGGTACCTAAGTGTGGGGCATGCCGGAAGCTACGCCGTTTCATTACAACTATTTAAAAACATTATATTATGCATATTTAAAGGTTTCCTGCAGAAGAATCGATATTTTTGCTTCGAGGCATTTATACTATCGATGTTTCATTATCGATATATCGATATTTTGCAATATCCATGTTTTTTTTGTTAAATTCTAATAAATATTACTTGTTTTTTCATAGTAATAAAGAATCCTACTTTTTGTTTGTATTTATAATCTCATACAACAAGAATTTAATAAATTTTGAAAAAATATTCCATGTTTTGTATAGTTATTTGATGACACCCCATTTTTCCCCACGGGTGGGGCAAAATGGGATTTTAGCACTTTCTCAGAAAATACGATATAAGTTCTTTCAAAAATTTTTTTCTCCGCTATTATCATAATTTCCTCAAAGCTAAGTGTACAAAGAAGAATTCTGAAGTTTAGCTGAATCGATTTATTCGTTTGGTTCTCTGTAAACAGCCAATTTCAAAAAGGTACCCCATTTTGCCCCACTCTCCCCTAATTGAAATTCAATTCAGTTTAATTTAATTTAATGTACTTAAAATTCAATTCAACTCAACTCAATTCAATTCAATTCAATTTAATGGAATGTAATTGAAATTCAATTTAATTTAATTGAATGTAATTAAATTGAAGATTGAAGTTCAATTCATTTTGATTGGAATTCAGTTCAATTTCATTGAATTAATTTAAATTCAATTTAATTTGATTGGTTTTCAGTTTAATTTATTTGACATTCAATTCAATTTGATTGGAATTCAGTTTAATTAAATTGAAATTCAATTCAATTTCATTGAAATTCAGTTCATTTTAATTGAAATTGAATTAAATTTGATTGAATTTCATTTCATTTTGATTGGAATTCAGTTCAATTTCATTGAATTAATTGAAATTCAATTTAATTTGATTGGTTTTCAGTGGAATTTAATTAATATTCAATTCAATTTGATTGGTTTTTAGTTGAATTTAATTGACATTCAATTCAATTTGAATAAATTTAATGGAAATTCAATTCAGATTAATTGAAATTGAAAGGTTTTCAGTTGAAATGAATTGAATTGCAATGCAATTCAATTTGATTGGTTTTCAGTTGTACTTAATGCCCATTGAATCCGATTTAAATGGTTTTTAGTTGAATTTCATTGAAATTTAGTTCAATTTAATTGAATTAAATTTCAATTAAATTTCATTGAATCCTTTTATTCCAATGGTGGAACTTGAGGATTGTCGATAAAGTTGAAAGATGAATTTTGAAGTTTTGGTAAATAGGTCGGACATTTTTTATTTTTTGAATTATTGGCAATTTTCGAAAAATCCAAATCGTCCCTTGGAGGGCCAATTTCTAAGAGTTCTCGTTTCGTAATTACTGGTCCAATTTTTTTGATCACTTTAGGAACTTCCTTGCTACTGCTATTTGCATTAGTTGACTTTTTTCCAGAAATTATATTTGAGGGATTTAATCGAGGCATTGTTATCGTCAAATGTCCTGTGGTCGTGTTTCTTTGAACGAGACTTTTTTCTGTCAACACCTCAGAGGAGAGGGTCAGTTGCAAAATTTTACCTTTTACAGTAACACGCACGTACAGAGGTTGAACGTCTACTTCCAAATAAGATGTGTCCAAGTATCTGAAAATATTGTTTTTATTTTATAAATATATTTTATTTATAAATATTGGAACAATTGTTTTTACTCTTTAAATTTGAATTAGTAAAATACTAATTTTTTCCTTTTGTCACATTAATATTAAATAAAAAAATATTGGGTTAAAAATTGTTTACTTGTAGACTTGGAGAGTAAGAATAATATTTTCTGGATCATCGTCATTAATTGTAAAAGGCACTTTTGCTTGATTGATATTGTACGGTTTCCCTTTTAGATTGAATAGTTTAGGAACGTATTTTGGTTTTTCTTCTTCCTTTCTGGAACTGTTCTTTTTTTCTTCGATTTTTTGCACACGCTCTGCAATTGCAATTCGATCTTCTGGTGTGTGATGGCTTGCTGAGTTCCAAAATTTTTCATTTTCTTCTTCTTCTTCATCTACCTCATCAACCTATTAAATCAAAAATTGTAGAACAGAAAATATTAAAAAATTAGAAATAAATTTAAAAATTAAAAACAAAATATCTTACATTCTCAGAATCATCGGAATTGATTTCGGTAATTTTGAGACTCTGCTTTTCTTCATGTTGTCTCTTTTGTTGCTCTCGAATTTTCACGTATTTCTTGTAACCCCTAATAATATCGCCTTGAGCTTCAGCATACTTTTGTAGAGCTTTTATTCTTTCTGATCTTTCAATAGCAACCATGTCCAATTCTTTGATTTGAGGGAGAGTCGCTATCACGTATTCTCTATAGCCCATGTAATCAGTGCAGGGATTTCCGGTCAAGATCAATTGTTCCAAATTTTCATTGCATCTAGAAACATGCGATTTAATTTTGCGCTAATAACTGGATTTCTTTTTAATTTAGAAAAAATTTTATCTTTGAAAAAAAGGTTTTTCTTTTTTTGTTTTTAAAATTTAAATTTAAAAAGAAAAAGAACTTCGAACTGTAATAATTTAATTCTTGGATAGAATTGTATTAATAGTTTTTGAAAAGAATTGAATTTTGAAGAAGAATTTTATTGAAAACGTTTAGTGTAATTAAATTCTTTCAAGAAATTAGATATATTAAAATTTTTTTAATTGAAATTTTTTAATTGAATTCTATCAAGAAATTTTAGTAAAATTCTATTACAGTAAATTAAACTGCTTTGAAGAATTTTATATATTATGAAAATAATTCAATTCTTGTGACTAATTTCTTTAAAATTTTTGAAAATAATTAGATTCTGTTCAGAAAAGGTTAAAAATGTACTGAAAATAATTAAATTCTAATAATAATGAAATTTCATTAAAATTTTTGATAATTGAATTCTAATGGGAAATTTTATTAAAATCGTATTGAAAGAAATCGAATTCCTTAGAAGAATTTTATAAGTTATGATAAAAATTCAATTCCTGCGACAAATCGTATTAAAATTTTTAGAAAATCCTCATTAAATTCTTTTAAAAATTTTTATTTGAATTAAAATATTTGAAAATAATTAAATTTTTTCAAAGAATTTATTGAAAAAAAATTAAATTCCTCGAAAGAATTTTTTTATTTATGAAAATAATTTGATATTCTAGATAAGAATTTTAATCAGTAAATAATTGAAAAATAAATTTAAAACAATGAAAAAATGAATTGACAATTGTTTCGTCAAAAATTCTTTCGTCAAAAATTAATCAGATTTTTGGAAATAATTTACTTGTTTCGAAGAGAATTTATTATAATTCTTTAGAGAAATTAAGTTAAAATTGTATTTAAAATAATTGAATTTTTATACAGAATTGTATCAAATTTTTTAAAAATAATTAAAAATAATTGAATTCCTGTGATAAATAATTGTAATATTTATAAAAATAATTTAATTCCTGTGATGAATTGTATTATTTATGAAAATAATTTGATTCTCGCATATAATTTTATTAAAATTTTTGGAAATAATTTACTTATTTCGAAGAAAATTAAATATTTTTAGAGAAATTTAGTTTAAAAAAATTGTATTGTAAATAATTGAATTTTTTCGACGAATTTTATAAAGTTTTTTAAAAATAATGAATTTTGTCTAGGAATTTAATTTAAATCGTATTAAAAATAATTGAATTCCTGCGATGAATAATTATATTATTTCTGAAAATAATTCAATTCTTGCGGCGAATTTAATTACAGTTTTTAAAATACTAATTGAATTTGTAATATGAATTTAATTAAAATTTTTTAAAATATTTAAATTCTTTTAAGAAATTTTATTAATAATTTTAAATATAATTGATTTCCTTCGAGAAAGTTTATTAAAATTGGATTGTAAATCATTAAATTATTTAAAGTTTTTATTTTCCAATGTATATATTTAATTGATGAATTTCCGAATAATCGAAATTTCGTTATATTTCGTAAAATTGAATTGTAAAAAAATGTATTTGAAAATTCTCAAAGAACTTTTGCCAAAATTATTAAAAATAATTGATTCAAAGAAGAATTTTAGTTAAAAATTCTTGAAAATATTAATGAAGTTAGGGAAAAACAAAATTAAAATTGAAATATTAATATTTAAAAGAATAATAAAGAATAATTAGTTAATTAGTGTTAATTAATTATTAATAAGCAGTAGTTAATAAGTCAATTTGTTTTTATCGTAGGGAATATAATAAAAGTAATAACCTCAGATTTTTGACTCCTTGCAAATTTCCTATGAAATTCACCATAAGATCAAGTTTCTTCAAACTCTCCAGTCCTTCTAAATTTTCAATAACTTCAATATTATTTAAAGCTAAATTCAAATACTCCAATTTTTTCAGTTTATTAAGATTTTCTATTTTCGATATCAAATTATACTGTAGCAGAAGAATCTTCAAATCTCGACAAAGATGATTAAGCATTTCAATTTTTTCTATATTTTCCTGATGCAGAGAGATTTCCTCCAAAGTTGATATTTCTCCTTCATTATGCTCGGCACGTTTTCGAATCAATTCCACAGTAATTCTTACCATTTTACTCTTTTTACGCTAATTAATTAATCACTTAATAATAAGATTAAAAATATTCTGTGTCACTTTGGTAGGGTTAAAGTTTCGAAATATTTAATTAAAAAATTTTCTCGAATAGACAAGATTCTTTTTTATTCATAATTAAGAATTGCTTTTTTTCAAATTAGAACAAGTTTTCTTAAAACTGGTTTTTGTAATTTAGGTTCTAGAAAGAGATCATTTTAATTTCCCGCATTAAGAACCGTTATATTGATAATAAACATATTAAACAAGATAATATTGCGAATTGCGAACTGTGACAGTGGTAAGAAAGTATCGATTAAACGATACTTGGAAACCTGACTCTGACTTTAAACTTCACGTTAGTTACCCAAAATGATTTTTTTATTTATTTTTTTTTAAAATGTTTAAGTTTTAAATACTTGGTAGGTAGGAATTATTATTTTTATTTAATTAAAATTATTTTTCATGTTTCAGGATTTTATCTTGGAGCATTACAGTGAAGATGGAGGGAATTATGAAGAAGCCATTGCTGAACTCATGGAAACCAGACAAGTAAAATTATTTTTTAAATTACTTGAAGAAAATTTTGTCAATTTCTAAGAAATGTTATTCTTCTGTTGTTTATTGTATGCAATGTTTGTTATTTATTTTACGAGTCTAATGCTATTTATTATTAGAAATATTAATTGTTGTGTGTACTCGAGAATATATTTCTGGAGCAAATGTAGTAAATTAAAGTCTTGATAAGATATTATATCTTAATTATAACACACAATCAGTGCAGATTTGAAAAAATTCACGATAAAATCTACTACGTAATAATTTTTCGTCTGATATTAAAAGTATGTCATTTATAAATGTTCAAATACGTGTTTTTATTATCAAAATAAAGAAAATTGCTATGAACGATAAAATAAAATAAATATTAAAATGATTAAAATAAAAATAGTACCAAGTAAATTTCGAAATAAAAAATTCTTTCTAGAATAAAGAAATTTTTATTTTAAAAATAAAGTAATAAAAATAAAATAAGATTATTAATTTGTTTATTTAAGAATAATGGAATAAATAAGAAATTTATTTTTAATTTGATTTTTTGTTTTTAGGCGACGAGAACACCAACGAGGGACGCTGCGGGAATCGCATTACTTCTTCGATACTATAATCAATTGTACTTCATCGAAAGGCGTTTCTTTCCACCGGATAGAAGTTTGGGAATTTACTTCGAGTGGTTCGATTCATTGACAGGAGTGCCAAGTTGTCAGAGAACAGTTGCATTCGAAAAGGCGTCAGTTCTCTTCAATGCTGGAGCACTTTACACGCAATTAGGTGCTAAACAAGACAGACGAACATCTCGCGGTTTAGATCAGGCTGTTGATGCATTTTTGAGAGCAGCAGGAACATTTCGATACATTCATGAAAATTTCACAAATGCACCGAGCATGGACCTGGGACCAGATATGCTGGACATGCTGGTTCAATTAATGCTGGTACGATCATCGACGTTTACGATGACATATTTGTTCAAAAAATTATTTTTTCATAATTTTTATAACTTTTATAAAACTTCGAAGTTCGAACTCTGTAATTTAATTCTTGCATAGAATTTTATTGACATTTTTTAAAAGAATTGAAGTCTTTCGAAAATTTTTTTAAAATTGTAATCAGAATAATTGAATTCTTCCGCAGAATTTTTTTATTCATGAAAATAATTGAATTCCTTAAAAAGAATTTTTGAATTTATGAAAAAAATTCAATTCTTGCGACGAATTTTATTAAAATTTTTAAAATAATAGACTTATTTCGAAGAATTTTATTTAAATTGTATTGAGAATAATTAAATTTCTTAGCAGAAATTTTATATTATTTATGAAAATAATTGAATTCCTTAGAATAATTTTCTAATATTTATGGTTAAAAATTTTATTCCTGCGACGAATTTTATTAAAATTAAAAAAACAATAAAATTATTTCGAAGAAGTTAATTTTAATTAAAATATATGAAAATAATTAAATTTTTTCAAAGAATTTACCAAAAATAAATAATTGAATATTCTTGACGACAATTTTAATCAAATTTTTGAAAATAACTTACTTGTTTCGAAGAGAATTAAAATTCTTTAGAGAAATTCAGTTAAAATTATATTGGAAATAATTGAATTTTCATACAGAATTTTATAACAAATTTTTTAAATAATTGAATTGCTATGAGGAATTATATATTATTATTTATGAAAATAATTCAATTCTTAAATAGATTTTTTTTTTAATTTTGTAAAGAATCGAATTTTTTCGAAGAATTTTATTTGAATTTTATTGAGAATAATTGAATTCCTCCGCAGTATTTTTTTACTTATGAAAATAATTGAATTCTTGCAAAGAATTTTAATGCAATTTTTAAAAATAATTTCTTGTATAAATTCTTTAAAATAATTTAGTTAAAATTGTATTAAAAACAATTGAATTTTTATAAAGAATTGACTCAAAATTTTAAAAAATAATTGTATTCTTAAAAAAGAAATTTATTAAAATTTTTCAATGTAGACGAATTTTTTCGAAGAATTCTCTTGAATGTTTTGAAAATCATTAAAATCTTTCAAAAAGTTTAATTATTAACATTGTATTGAAAATAATTGAATCTTTCAAAAAATGTTAGTATTTATGAAAAAATTGTATTCCTATGGAAAAAATTTTTAAAAATTTTTGAAAATAATCAATTTTTTTGGAAGAATTAAACATTATATTATATCGAGAAATTGAAAAAAATTGTATTGAAAGTAACTGAATTCCTGCGAAGAATTTTAATATTTATAAAAATAATTGGATTCTTGAGAAGAATTTTATTAAAATTTTTAAATTACCTAATTGAAATCATTTGACGAATTTTATTAAAATTTTTGAAAATAATCCAATTCCTTCAAAATATTTTATTGAAATTGAATTGAAAAAACTTGAATTCCTGCAAAGAATTTTAAAATGCATATTATAAATAATTGAATTCTTCTAAAGAGATTTATCAAAATTATTTTAAATAATTGAATTCTTTCAAATTTTATTGGCATTTTCTTGAAAATAAGTAAATTCTTCAAAAAAATTTATTATTTATGAAAATACATAATTGTATTATTGTAAAAATTGCATACAAATTTTTTAAAATAATTGAATTCCTTCGAGAAATTTTATGTAAATTGTATTGTAAATAATTAAATTCCTGCGAAGAATTTTAATATTTATAAAAATAATTGGATTCTTGGGAATAATTCTATTAAAATTTTTGAAAGTAATTAAAATTATCTGCTGAATTTTATTGAAATTTTTAAAAATAATCCAATTGCTTCGAGAAATTTTAATAAAATTGAATTAAAAAGAATTGAAATAAAATATATAATCCTAAAAATAAAAAAATAAAAATCCTAAAAATAATTGGATTCTTCAGAAAAAATTTTAAAGTATCTAATTGAAATCATTTGACGAATTTTATTAAAATATTTGAAAATAATCCAATTTCTTCGGGAGTTTTTATTAAAACTGAATTGAAAAGAATTGAATTCCTGCGAAGAATTTTAAAATGCATAAAAATAATCGAATTCTTGACAAGAATTTTATATTTAAATTTTTGAAAATAGTTGAAATTATTTCACCAATTTTATAAAAAATTTTGAAAAATCAACATAAAATTGTTCATCATTTACTTTCAGGCTCAAGCGAGGGAGTGTCTTTTTGAAAAATTGGAACTTCAATCAAGAGATTCTCGAAATATTGACGTATCTTTAGATCTTGCTCAAGAAGCTGCTCAGGTGAGAAAAAATACAATTTTTAATAATCTGTATAAATTGCTATCAATAATACTTTTAAATATTGAATCAATTATTTAAATTAAATATCGAATAGATAACGAGTTTGAAGAAATATTATTTTAGTTTTTAAATATACAAATTATTTAAAAAATAAATTTAAATTATAAATAATTGAATATTGAATTATTTATTAATAAGAGTCTTAGTGTATTGAATATTCTTTTCTCATTGCAGGTATCTGCAGTTTATAACGATGTTCATGGACTAATAATTCGCGAGCCGGTTCGAGATTACGTCCCGGAATCATGGGTTTCATTAATTTTAGTGAAACGAGAACATCATTTGGCTTTGGCACACAAACATTGTGCTGTTGGTCTCTTAGATATTCCATTATCGGAATTTTGCACAGAAGCAAAATTAATTCTCGAGCGCATTCAGGAAAGCGATGGGAAGACCCAAATTGATGTAATCGTCCCTAAGGACGATAACGACAGAAAGGCTCTCGGTATGCATGATAATTTCTAATTATTAAGAAAATGAGATTTTAAAAATCTTTTTAAACTTTAATAGAAACAATAATTTTACGTTTTATTATTTTGATGACCGAGTGATAAAGTCATTATTATATTTATTTATTTTTAATTCTTCGTGTACACCCTTTTTGGGTTTTTACAAAGCTTAATCCAAATTAAGACCCAAAAACTAAAATCATTAGTATATATATTTTTATTTATGTTTATGTATTTTATTAGACAGAATTCTCGCTGGAGAATAATTTGGATTTATTACTGAATGGAAATTTTTTTAATTTAAAGGACGAGCACATTTGAGGGAAGCTTTGGTGTTGCATGAAGAGAGCCAGAGGTTACAGAGAATGTGTAGGGAGCTGAAGGGTAAGCCAACTTTGGGAAGGGTCTTGAAGAAGGGTCAAGATTGTACCCTTGAAATTTATAATCGCTCCGGAGATGAGGACGATTTTCGAGACTTGCTGGATCCTCCCCACATAATAGGTTCGTTGATCTACATTACACATATAAATATGTTTATATTTATGACAAAATAAATTTTATTCTATTCTATTCTATATTTTATAGAAGATTGAATTTTAAAAAAGAAGTTAATGTGAAATTTTAATTTTCAGCCTCGACGAAATTTCAATTGAGTCTCACACATCCAGACTTTGGTCAGCATGGTGTTGACGACCTTTTCAGATCCTTGGGTCCAGTGGCGATTTTTTCTGCAAAAAGACATTGGACAGCGCCGAGACTTATTCAACTTCAAAGGGGTCCAGGAGGCGAGGGATTTGGATTTAGTGTAAGAGGCGATGCTCCCGTTATCATTGCCGCCGTGGACCATAATTCGCTTGCTGACGTAAGTTTTCAGAATTACGTAATTAATTAATATATTATAAAAAATTAAATAATTAACTATTATATTTTATTTAGTTTTCTTCAAATAATTATTCGATTAAATTAACTTTGGTGAAGTTCACAACGTTTATAATCAACGCTGAGAGAAGAAAAAATAATTTTTCTTTTCAAATTCTGTCTTAAAAAAATTGTTTACAATTTTTCGTCATCAGCAACTTAAGAAAGAAAAATTTGCAAACGTAAAACATTATTCTTTCGACTTAATTCCTAAATATTCTCTTAACTGTAAAATATTGTTTTATGAGTGAGAAATGTTTGTTTTTCTCCAATCACCGATGATAAACGTTGTGAATTTCAACCACGTTTAAATCACTTATTTATTTGACAATATCTACTCTTTTCATATAAGAAAATTATTGTATAATTTTTAAAAAATATTGAAAATAAAATTTAATTTCAGTTGGGTGGAATGAAAGAAGGGGATTTCATCGTCAGTATTAGCGATAAAGATGTCAAGTGGGCCTCTCACGATCAAGTTGTACGACTCATTAAACAATGCGGAGATTCAATTAGTTTAAAACTCGTTACCCCCATGGACAGAAATTATTTAAAGGTTTGAAATAATATTTTATCTTTTTGATGAATTAATTTAATTCTTAATTATTCTTTATCAATTTATTGTATTTATTATATATAAATTAATTTAATGCTTTTAATCACTTTGATAGAAATAATAAATAATATTTGAATTATTTTAATTTATTAAAGAAACCGGCTAAAACAAGTCACCACGATAAGGGAAGTGTGTCAGCAAGTAGTTCTTCAGGCATATCCTCCGGACAGCCGAGTCCTGCAGGATCTGTAACAACAGGTCATGTAGCAAAAAGGCATCCTTGGAATCCATTCAAAAAGTCTAATGGTCAACGAGACAGTAGGGACCTAACATTTGATAATGTTATCCTTAGATGATTTATAAATCTGAAAATCATTTCCAAAGTGCTTTTGGCACTATAAATGTTTTGAAATTATTATTTTCCATTATTAATTCTTTAAAATAAATGGTGAAAAATTATTATTCCCATATTTTTTGAATGCGATATTCGAAAAAGGAGGTAATACTGGGAAAAAAATGAAAACAATTTGTTAATATTATTAAAAAAAACGGCGACTTGTTTAAATCGTTTGAAAATGACTTGGTCAATATGTAAATATAAAAGAAAAGTATAAAGAATTTGACACTGTCATCAAATTGTTGCCAAATTGTAAGTAAATTCGAGTGCGTGAATAAGAATATTGTACATCTATTCATTTTTGATACTGTATTATTTACTATTTTTTTTTCTTTTTTTCTTGTATTTTAGATTGTTTAGATGTACTAACTGGAAATCCTTTCGGATGATTGCCATATTAATTTCTTATATGCTCTACTTTTCTATAATTTAATTCTTCCGTCTCTATTTACTTGATGCCACAGATTAAATATCATTGCAAATCGAAAAAATATGTATCGAAATATTTGTCTTTTTGTTCTGGCTAATTTAATCATTTTTTTGTATTTAAAAGGAAAAATCTTTGAAAAACTTTGCAGCGCAATTAAAGTAGATATTGTTTCTTTTTTTCTTTTATACAAAAAGAAAGCGTTTGCGTATGTGTGCAATACTTTTTAAAATGTGTCGAATTAGAATATAATTTTAAGTGCCAATACTTGTGTAGAATGTCAATTTATTTCATATATACAAGTTTAAGTTTTAGTGTCCGCAAGATTTCGAAATAGGTTCAGAGTAATTTTGAAAGAAAAATTACAAAATGAAATTCATCAGTACGAACAATGTTTTAGAAATATGTAAATAAAGTCATATTGTTACAATCATAAAATGCGTTTATATAAAATAAAAAATGTGTAGTATTTTTTTAGAATTTTCATAATAATTATTTTTTATATCATCAGAGATTCGTTTGTCAACAGTGAAAAAATTAATCGCGCTTGTAAATATTTATTTTTAAAACCAATTTTTGTAATATTTAAGAAATTGTACTATTAAAATAGATACAATATACATATGTCAATTTTTTGAAAATTTCCAAATTGGTGATTGATTTTAGAAAGCGAATACAAGTAATTTATTTTGTACATTTTCCTTTGTATATTTCGGCATAAAGAAAACTTTGTATTTTTCAATTTTCGTTTATAAATAATATGTCTTATATTGTATATGTTTATAAGTTAATTGTTAAACATTGTATTGAATAAAAAAAGAAATACTAAATTTTTTGCTAAACTGTTTTCTTTAATTTCAAACAAAATTTTAATTTCATTTAAATTATTATAGACAAATAATTTTTTTTTACTAGAAGGATTTTTTTTCAGGAAAAATAATTATTTTTAAATAAGAACAATTTGATAATGCACTTGGATAATATTGTGCAATCAAGTTGAATTTCTTTTAACAGTGAAAGTTTCGCACTCTCAATACTTTTTTTTTTGTATCTGCTTCATTCACTTTCTTCTAGAGTGAATATTTTTGACAGTATTCGTTTTTTTTATATTTTTTTTACATTCAATTTTCCTTTTTGAGTAAAAAAATGTAAACATATTATTACTTTCATTTTGCTTGAACATTAGACCTCGTAATATAATGGCCTCGCCATTGTTGACTAATCATTCTCACATGTAGAAAAAAAAGATGAGAAATCTTCAGCCAATTATCTTATTCAATATATTATAAATAATTTCATTTTAAAAGATACATTTCTTTGTTCATAAGAATATATTTCATAATTCTTTTTTTGAAATTTCAATTTATCATATTATTTGAAATTATATTCTATTTAAAAGTAACTAGCAGGCAATTTATTTAATAGAAATTTTCAATAACATAATTTTAACAAAAATAATAATTTATTCAAAAAATAATGTTTAAAAACAAAAATCATAATTGAAGAGAATAATGAAGTCTATTAAAGTTTAAAAACGAAAAATGGATTTGAATGTGAATAAGATTATTTCAAGGTATTACAAATACGAATTAATTCTTTTGGTAAATACATGACACTTTTCTGAAACACCGAGACTGATATTATCCCAAGCTCATTATCATTAAAAGAGGAAATGGTTACTCATGAATTTTACACTTCTAAATTATGCAAATATTCTTAATCTCAATAGATAAAATTACTAAAAAAATTTTTTTAAATTAGTCAGACGCTTGAAGACAATTTGGTGATGTTTTATCATGATTATTCATTTATGATAGTAATAAAAATAATTAATAAAAATAAACAATAATAATAAAAAAAATATTAATCAAAATAGAAATAGTAATTTTAATAAATATAATAATTCATGTTTCATTTTAATAGTTGTAAATAAACTACAATTGAAATAAATTTTTTTTAAATTATTAAAAATGTATTTTAACAGATTTTATATATTTTAACAGGATTTAAATTTCCCTTTTTTAATTTTGTTCAATATTCAGAAAAGTAATGCAATTTTCCAAAAAAAATCGTTAATTTAATTAGTTGTTTCTATTGCATTAACTATTTTTCTTGAAATCTCAACTAATTATACCGATTGACTTTCTATATTTTGAAATGGATCAATTAAACTTTTACAATTTCTTAAGCGAAATGGAAAAGATGCAACACTACTTGAATTAACAAATAAAATTTTGTTTCCTCGAGTTTCATGGAAAGAAAGATTTAAAAAAATGTTTATAAAACCGATTCTCTTGATTAACGAAGCGATGGAGGATTCGATCCTTTGGAGAAAGCAAAGTAGAATGCCTCAAAAAGAAAGTGAATCCGCGAGGACTTAACGATCTTACAAACGGAAATTGTTCTTGTATATATATGTATTTAATTTCCTTGTAGAAATTTTATTAACATATAAAATTCAAATAATTATTCAAAAAAATTTACAAAATCGTAAGACTTCGTTTTTTTTGTATTACTCTAAATTTTTTTTCTCCTTTTGAATTTTTTTCCAGATTTTTTTTCTTCTCTTTTTTTCTGATGAATTCTTCTTTTCTGTATCGAAACAGATGCTGAAAGAGAATTTTTTATTTTTCTATTATCCTCTTTGATTTTTAAAGAAAATCTAACAAAACATTTGTAAACCTTGAAAGTTACGTTTTTATGTCATAATTAAAGACCAGAATTCCATAACTCTTATCGTATCGAAATCCCCTCTTTCTTTTGGCCGGATCATTCGAAAGTATTCGGGTTACTTCTTTGACTTTAACTAAGCGAAGCAGTCGCCAAAAGACTCTTGCCCGTCACTTTACTCTCGCCGGAGAAACCTGATATCACAGGTGTGTGAAGAATATTTCAATTTACAAAAGTGAAAAATTCAATCTCTTTAAAAATTACACTAAAATAAAAATTTTAATAAAATCCCAAATAATGATTAGATAAAACTTTTCATTTTTTTTTTCAAAATTTCTTAGTGAATAATTTTATTTTATTTAATATTCCTCCAAAAGAAAAGTGAGAGTGATTAATTATTTTTTTCAGTTTAGTGACTTATTTGAAAATTAAATTTTTGAAAAATTACAAACAAAAAAAGATTTTACTTGTGTTGTTACAAAATAAAAAGGCAATATTGGCAAAGACTCATAGGTAGACGATAAATTACTTCATAATCGGTGAATTGAATGAGAAACTGAAAATGGTACTCTGATGAAATAGGACACGAATATAATTATTTATCTATGAAAGAAAATTAAAACTGTACATAAAAATATTATTTTAAGTGGACATTTTTTAATACTCATAAATAATAATAATAATAATAATAATAATAATAATAATAATAATAATAACAATAATAATTTTTTTCACCTTTTACATATTTTACTAAAAATCGAAAAAAAGAATTTAGTAAATAATATTAATTTCTTTCAACTTTTATGTATTTTTCCAAAAATCTAAAAAAAGAATTTACTAAATAATAACAATTTCTTATAAAAATAATAATAATAATAATAATAATAATAATAATAATAATAATAATAATAATAATAATAATAATAATAATAATAATAATAATAATAGTAATAATAATATTTAATAAATAATTATAATAAATTATAAACAGTTTAATAACAACGAATATAATAATTTTACAAAATATGTCCTAATAATTAAAAAAAAGAAAATTCTCGTAATAAAATTAAAATTTCTTTCTTAAATTTATTGAACATTTTTGATTTTTTAAAGTTCTGCCTCAATTGAAAGCTCTTGTTTCATTTAAAATTCGTTTCACTTGAACTTAATATAGGTTTGTTACTTTCACTGAATGGCACTGTATATACTTCAAGTCTAAGGAACTTTCTTCTTCTTAAAGATATTGAAAGAAAGAGTCGATTGCTTTCGAGTTTTTCTCTAAAAAAAAATTGACTGTAGCAAAACTACTCATACAAAAAAAGCAATATTTTTACCAAAAATTTAATTGTCTTAAAATAGAAAATTATTTTTAAAAAAATAATTGAAGAAAATTAAAAAAAAATTAGAGAAAATAAAAAAATTGTAGAAAATAAAAAAAATTAAAGAAAATTAAAAAAAAAATAATGAATGATTTCACTAAAATTAAAATTCAATTAAAAGAATAAATTCTAACTATACACTAAAATTAAAAAAAGGAATAATATGTAATTAAAGAAAATTCTTATAAAATTCCTTAGAATATCCAAAGGAATTATTTCACAAGAGACGAATTATTGTGAAAGAAATAGGTACTTTAGGAAATCCCAGCGTGACTAAATAACCGTTTTTCGAATAAAATATGCCTATTTCGTAAAAATCTCTATTTCACATTCGACTAATGTTAAATTCAAGTGTTATGTTGTTATTAAATAGTTCATATAGTTGAGTTTATTTAAAAATAACAAAAACTAGAAAGTTGTGAATCAAATATACAGCGGAAGTGCAGATTTACTTCCTTATGTTTGTTGATTACTTTCATTTTCATATACGCACGCTCATGAATTTTTCACGAGTTATAGAGTGTTGCTCTAAAAATAATTACCAATAATATGATTATTGTCACTTTAACTCTAACCATGAGAAAACTATTTATTTCTGAACATTACTATTTCTGCTCTTTCTTCTTTTCTGTTTTAAATATTTTTTTAACTCGAATTCAATTTTTTTCATTTAATTTAATTTGTCTTCTTTTCTAGAGAAAAGAAAATAAAAATAGATTTTTATTTTCTCTTTTCATTTCTCTATTTATTTTTATTGTTCAAGTATTTAAGTTTTTTTCGTTTACTAAATAATTTCAAATTGTTAATATTTTCCAACGAAAAAATGATTATGAAAATAGTTTAATTTTTCAATATTTAAAAACGTAAAATCATAACTAAATTTTAAGTCTTTTAATTTTATTCTTCTCAGAAGAAAGTAATAAATATGAGTTGTTTTTTAAAGTTTGTACATAATTTTTAATTTACTATGAACACAGTGTAACGAATAAAAGAGGCATTTTAAATAGAAGCCTTGAAACATACATGGTCATCAGTATTCTGCATAAATTTTAATTCACTATTCAGAAAGAATATGAATACTTTGTCATCTTTTTCAAAATGTTTTATGTATCAAAGCAAATTAAAGTTTCCCAACGCCCCTTTCGAATTCAACAAGATTTTGAATATTGTTTGCAAAATAATATTAATAAACAGGGTTGCCACGCTTTTGCTCATTTCAAATTCCCTGACTTTTCCAGGTTTTCCAGGTTAAAAAACGGAATTTTTCCAGATTTTTAAAATTACATTTTTTGCCAACAAACATTTAATTTTGCTTTTCCCCGACAAAATTAAATTTCAGACAAAATTCTTACTTCTTGACTCTAAAGAATATTCTCAATCAGTTTAAAAATTATTACTCACAAAAATGTTCCATTGCTTCTTTTTTCAATAAATATTAAATCATTATTGGTATTTTTCCATAAGAATTAAGATTTTCAAAAAATTTCAAATTCAAACCTTTTTGAAATTAAACAATTTTCAAAAAATTGTTATAAAACATGAAGATATCGATCACTCCGAGTCTTCGACTTGGAGCAATCGATATCTTCATGTTTTATAATAAATAATAAAAGATGACCGACTGATAAAATCATTATTTTATATTTTATAAGAATATTGTTACTGTAACTTCATCAAAATTATTCTCATTTCAATTCAATTATTTTCTAAAATTTTTAACTAAAATTCTTCTTTAAATTAATTATTCATTCTTTTTTAATAATTTTTGAAAAATTTCTTTGAACATTTTCAAATCCTTTTGTTTACAATTCAATTTTACGAAATTTCATCGATTTTTTTTCTTCGAAATTCTTCAATTAAATATATATTAGAAAATAAAAACTTGAAATAGTTTCAAAAAAGTTCCATTAAACTTTAAAAAACAATTAAATCTACACAATTTTCAGTTAAAAATATGAAAAATTCAAACTTTCAAAGATTATAATTTAAAACCTTTTCAAAATTCAATTATTTCTAAAAATTCACGCTATAATACTTTCTCATTAAATTTGAATTAGTAAAAATGTTTACTATTTTGGAATAAGCGACTGACTTTTTGTTTTTGAATTTATCAACAAATTTTTAAATAATTAAAATTCTTTTGAAGAATTTTAATAAAACTTTTAAGAATAATATCCATTTTCGAGAAATTAGATTAAAATTGCATTAAAAATAATTGAATCTCTGTGAAAAAAATTTGATTGAATTGTGAAAAGTTTTTGAAAATAATTGAAATTTTGCCAAGAGAATTTTATTAAATTTTTTTGAAAATAATTGTCCAAAAAATTGAAAGAAAAAAATACTATAAATAGAAATTCACAAATTTTTTTTAAAATTTTGATTTATAAACATAAAACATGAAAATATAATAGCTTTTTTGTCGATATTTTACATTAGAAAGTTTTATTTACATAATAAAATGTAATTGTTAATAATACTTAAATGAGAACTTTCATAAGAATTTGTTTTTTAATAACAGGCTCATAATTTTGAGAAGTTAAATTGACACCTTCTTTCTCCTTATTATTTTTTAAAAAACTATCAATAACTTTTTATCAGCCATCTAATTTTTAAAAATGAAACGTAAATATTTTTTAGTAATTTACTAATAACAACTATCAAAATGAAAAAAATGGATTGTTTTTAGTCATATAAATTTTTTAAATTTTAGAATCCACATAGCCATAATTTTGTACAATAATAAATTTTGAGCAATTTAATTCCAATAAAAAAAATTATAATTTTTCTTCTAGATAGATCTTAAATCTTTATAAATGATTTTTTTATTATTGAACAACCGACTTAAAACACTGTATTATTGAAATTACAATTAATATTTTTAAATTTGACATAAAGTTTGTAAACATAATATAATAAATAATCACGTTAAATAAATATTATTTTGGATTTTTAATCAAACAATTTATATAACCAAAAGAATTAAGTTTTCATTCTTAATTGATTTTTTCTATACTTGATGAAACTTTTATAAAGTCAAAAAAGGTATTACTATTAAATTATATAGTGAAAAATGAAAAATTTAGTTTTTAATTTTTTTAAGAAGCTTAAAGAATAATAAAATTAGATACGAAAAATTCGAAACGTTAAAAAGTTGTAATTTAATAAACATCCACTATTAGTAATTATTATAATATATTATAATCACGCGTCCAATAATAAATTTAATTCACTTGGCGGGTTTTTTTAAAAACTACGAAATTCACCAAAAAAACTAAAATTCTTGAATTCTGTAAATTTTTTTTACCTTTTTTGGAAAAAAGTATCATTTAGTAGCTTTTTGACAAAATAAGTAGCAAAAAGTAGGCTTGACTAAAAAAAGTGTCAAAAAAGTGGAAAAGTGTGTCACTTCGAAGCCTGGAATTATAATAAAATTTTTAAGAATAATTACATTTTTCGAGAAATTCCATTAAAATTGTATTAAAAATAATTGAAATTTTGCGATGATTTTTATTATTTATGAAAATAATTGAAAACCTATATATGAAAAATAATTGAATTCCTGGTAAAAAATATTATTCTTCATAAAAATAATTGAATTGAGCTCCCGCGGGCAATAACTCGATCTGCGCTCGGACGCAAGCGCTAGTACCAGTCGGGGAGCAGTGAGCGCCTCTGCGCCACTCACTGCCACCCGACTGGTATTAGAGAGTGCGTCCGAGCGCAGATCGAGTTATTGCCCGCGGGAGCTCAATTATTGCGAAGAAATTTAAAAAAAAAAATTTGTAAATAATAGAATTCCTGTGAAATTTTTAGTATTTAATTCATTCATTGAAAATTGAAATTTTCTAAAATTTCAAATTAAAACCTTTTGAAGTTCACCTATTTATGAAAATTGCAAACGCAACTCTTTTAAAATTGAATTAATTTTGAAATATTTAAGTAAAATTAGATTTCAAGAATAAGCACAATAACTTTAGAAAAGAATAATTTTCCAGGATTCCGATCAAAATTCCCTGACATTTCCAGGTTTTCAGGTTGCGTGGCAACCCTGATAAATTAATATTATAATTAATATAAAATAATTAGAATTAATATTACTTTAGTTTAGTAAAATTATATTATCATCTCGATTGTAATAATAGTAATAACAACAACAGATATAAATATTAATATATAATAGTAATAATGAATTATTATTATTACTATATATTATTAATGGTATTATTTCTGTAAAATATTTCATGGTACAAATCCGATTTTTTATTTGAATGTTATTCGTGTCGAATACCACACACGGAAAGATAAGTGTCGGCATTATGCAAATATAATGCAGGAACACTGGTTATAACTAAATTTTGATTTGAAAAAGGCACTAAAAGATTTTTGATATACTCTGAAGAGAAGCGACTTGCTTTGTAAAAAATTCGTAGAGTACACGCAGGATTTTCGGTTACTGATCCCTTCTTCAAATTAGTGAGAAGATATTCAAGACACTGTGCTAATTCTTCTTGTGTAAAATTCGTTGGCGAGTCTGTCAAAGATGGTAAATCAAAAGACAAATATCCGACAATAGCAGAAATATTATCATAATTCCATCTTCTTCTCAGTAAAATTTTAATGTTGCCCATATTTTTTCTAGTCTCCTCATATTCAAATCGACTGTTATCTCTGTGAGCCCAAACACTCCATTCGATTCTTGCATTCCGAGGGAGATTCGGCAGAATAATATAATCGTCAATTGTATTCTTGGTTAATTTCTCCCATTCGTTTCTCGCCTCTGTTATGTAATTGAAATCTGTTAGAAAACAAATTCCCTGGACAATGTCTCTTAATTGTGTTTTATTATCAACAGACTTTAGAAGTCGTTCGATGTGTCTCAAAGTTAGACGACATTCTTGTCTTATATTTGAACTCAACATGGCCATACTGCCGGGAATTAGGGGAATTTGACCAGCGACCAGGAAAATATCTCCTATGCGAACAACCTGCGAGTAGGGACCCACATTCGCAGGTGCCCAGTGACTTATACTCTGAACATGTAGGGTATGCTTCTGATGAACCGAACCGTCCTTTGTACTACTTCCGTCCTTATAGGCCGTTGCTTCGAGTGCAACGTGAACTTTCAAAGAGCATTCCACACAGACTCGAACCGGAGGATTGAGTTGAGCAAATCTCGAGATATAAATTTCGTTTATCAACGAATAGTTCGCCATGTCTTTAACGAAAAGAGTAACTGACACAATGTCCGAAAATTGTAGACTTTTGCTGATTAGAAGATCTTGGAGTTTATTTAAAGTATCCTCCATGGCTTCTGCTGGATCTGAGTTCTCACTGGTCAAACCTCCGAACCAAAGCCAACCACTTTCGTTCTCATTCACACTCGGATTGTCAAAATATTCCCGAGGACAAACCTCGACTGCCGTAGCAGATTTCTCCTCATCCGGAGACAAGTTACCCTCATCCTCCTTCAAACACAATATTTCTGAAACGTAATCAAGCGGATTTTTAATAATAATATTCTGTAATCTCTCCTTCAGGGATAAATTCTCCATTCCTTTGTCTTTCACCAACAATTGCACTTTCTTGAAATTGAGATACCCAACAGGCGCAATATCACTGTTAGAATGGACAATACTCTCATACTCGTTTATCACGATACTCTTAACAAACAACGGACAATCAAGCGTAAACGTTTCATATTCACCCCCCTCGCCACAAACATTCAATCCAAACTTCTCCTTCATCTTCAACAAATGTGGCTGCATTTCCATCAACGATTTCCCCAAGTGCTTCAAATCCAAACCCAAACATGCCACTTTGATCAAAATCGCATTAACCGAGCACTGTATCATTTCATTAAGTAATTCCTCCTGATCTCTCTGCCACAGGTACGAGAGGGAAACGAGTCCCAATCGTTTACAAACATTCTCCACTCGTAATCGTTGATAATCACTAGCGATCGCTCCACTTGACACCGCTTCTATATTCTCACTATCCTTAACTTTCTTCAACAGCCTATAGAGATCCTCGACTTCATCATCGTCAGTTGGTACATAATTTTTGTCCTGCATCTTCGATCTTCCGAATGTGGGTTCTCTGTAGAGGGGTAAGCCAATGGCGTCGGCAATAAATTCTATTCCCTGATGACCAACAGTCTGGAACATGAATGAATCGAGATCGTCCTTTCCAACGGGATGTAAATTAGCCAGGGCAATTATATCGTGTCCGGCAGCTACGCACTGCATCATGCTGAAACAGGAATCCTTTCCTCCACTTATAAGAGCTACGACCCTCATATTGTTGAGAAAGTAATTTGACTTTTAGATTGATAAAAGTTAGGTCTACTTAATTTGGTAATTTAGAATCTTCACTCAACTGGTGTTTTTGAACCAGAAACTACGGCAGACCATGCGTTGTCCTATCTGAAAACAGTTCGAGAAACTTTAGTATTGTACTTGATTATTTCGACGCTTGGGGGCAAAATTATTTCAAAATACGGACTTTACGGAACAAAAATGAAAAATTACGGACCAATTATTACTGACAAAAATATAACCAGTCCGAGTCAAATAAGAGAACATTTTACTTAAAACTATAAAATTAAAATTTTTCATGTTTTATAGATAATAATTCTTCCTTAAATCGATTATTTTTTTAAATTTTCGAAAACGTTCTTTGCCAATTTTCAAATCCATTTGTTTACAATATTCAATTTTACGAAATTTCAAAAATTGGTAAATTCTTCAATTAAACTTTTTCAAAAAATTAATTTCAAAATTCAAATATTTCTAAAAATTCACGCTATATATTGTTTTTAATATATGTGACAGAGACAGTTAAAAGAGACCTATGCGGTTCGAAAAAATCAATTTTTTATTTTAATTGATTTTTTCGAACCGTAGGTCTCTTTTAACAGTCCCTGTCACAAATACAAAAATAAATAATTTATTGAATAATTGAATGTTCCTTAAAATTAAATTTTCATAAAGAAATTTATCAACAAATTTTTAAATAATTGAATTTTTTCGATAAAATATAATAAAATTTTTAAAAATAATTACATTTCTCAAGAAATTTGATTAAAATAGTATTAAAAATAATTAAAATTTTGCGATTAGTTTTTTTAGTTATGAAAATAATTGAATTTTTGCAACGATTTTTATTAAAATTTTTAAAAATAATTGCATTCTTGTGAAAATTTTTTTATTTCTCAAAATAATTGAAATTTAATAAGTTTTTGAAATTTCTAAAATTTCCAATAAATTAGAATTTTAATAACATTTTTATGATTAATTACATTTTTGGAGGAATTTGATTAAAACTGCATTAAAAATAATTGAAATTCTTCTATCAGTTTCTTTATTTATGAAAATAATTGAATTCCTGAAAAGAATTTTATTATTTATGAAACGAATTGAATTATTGCCAAGAAAGATTATAAAAAACTTGTAAATAATTGAATTCTTGTGAAATTTTTATTAATTATGAAAGTAATTGAATTATTGCAAAAAAATTTATAAAAAATTTGTAAATGATTAAATTCTTTTGGAAAATTTTATTAAAATAGTAGGTAGATATTAAAAAACATTCAATTGAAAAAATTTTGGAAAATAATTAATATTCGGAGAAGAATTTTATTTGCTTATAAAGATAATTGAAATTTGGACGAGAATTCTTATAAATTACTTTTAAAAATAATTGAATTTCTGCAATAATTTGTAATCTCTCCAAAATCTAATTTCTTTTTTTAGTGTTTTTAACTGAAATTCTTTTATAAATCCCTTATTTTTAATAATATTTAAAAAGTTCTTTAGGAATTTTCCATTTCATTTGTTTATAATTTAATTTTACAAAATTTCAAATATTTGGAAATTCTTCAATTAAATATATATATATAATATCAGAAAATAAAAACTTCAAATAATTTTAAAAAAAGTCCGCAATTAATAGAAAATTATACGAGAATTCAATTATTTAAATACAAAATTAAATAATTCATTGAATGAATGAATGTTTCTTAAAATTTAATTCTCATAAACAAATTTATCAATTTAAATTTTAAATAACTAAATTATTTTGACGAATTTTAATAAATTCCTAAAAAGAATTTGGTTATTGTTGAAAATAATTGAATCCCCATAAGAATTTTATTATATTTATAGATTATTGAAATTTTTACGAAAATTTTAAAAAAATTTTGCAGATAATTTTACTATTTATAAAAATAATTGAATCCCTATAAAAAATGGTATTATTTATGAAAATAATTGAATTCCTGTGAAATTTTTATTATTTTATGAAAATACTTAAATAATTTAATTTCGGAGAAAATTTTTATTATTTATAAAGAATATTGAAGTTTTGACGAGAATTTTTTTTCAAATTTTGAAATTTTGCGAAGAATTTTATTACCTCTGAAAATAATTGATTTTCTGCAATCATTTTCATTTATGTAATTTCTTTTCGTTTTTTTTCAATCAAATTACGGACCTTTTTTTTAAAAAAAACTGACTTTTACGGATCTTTACGGAATTTATGGACTTAGTTCGAGCCCTGGATCAGGGAAAAGTCAGGAAATTTTATTAAAAGTACTGAAAAAAAATTAATTTTGTAAAAATTAATTAATTATTAATTAATTTTGTAGACTTTTTCGTTTGTCTTATAAACTTATAAACAAATTAACACGATTTTTAATAAAAAAAATTCCATTTATTCATAGCTAAAAATAAAAACTTTTTCAGAAAAAATGGGTATGGGAACAGAAGAGAATTTGGACTACAAATGTGGCCTGAGCACCGATTCGCAAGTGATTGCACGAATGGAATTAAGAGAAGACATAAACACGCGTGAGCAAGCTCTAGAAAAATTTCGAGAATGGATTCAAAAACACCCGGCAATTAAAAGTTGTCGCACCGATGCCGTTTTTCTACTCAGGTTTCTAAGGACAAAAAAATTCAGCCTCCCATTAGCCGAGGAAATGCTAGAACGTTATCTCACAATGCGACAACTTTATCCTGATTGGTTTCAAAATTTAGACATTAATGATCCCGATATTGAAGCTATAATCGATAGTGGATATCTGGTTCCACTTTTGGAAAGGGACGAGCATGGACGAAAAGTCATTCTCTCGTGTGCTGGTACGTATATTTCAAATTCAAAAAATCATATTTAAATTGAAAAATAGTTTTCCAGGAAGAAAATTTTTCAAATTTTCAGGACGCTTCGATCCTTATAAATACACATCGGCTCAAATGGCCAGAACACACAGCATTGTGGTCGAAGCTCTCATGGACGAGGAGGAAAATCAAGTTAAAGGATACACCCACTTGAATGATGAATCTGGCCTCACTATGGGTCATATTAGTGCCTGGTCATTAACAGACATTCGAAATATGTTGAGATGTATTCAAAATACAACTCCTATGCGACACAAGGAGACGCATTTAATGAACATTCCCACTTGCGCAACGAAAGTCGTCGAATTTGCCGTCTCTCTCCTCAATGAAAAACTCAAAAGTCGCATACACGTAAGTCTACTAACAAACAAAAGAGTTTTTCAAAATTTAATTAATAATACAGTTCTTTTAAAAAAATTTAAACATAATACAGGGTGGACACTTTTCTCATAAAAAAAATCCACGGTCATTTCCTGGTCATAAAGAATAACTCTGAAAATCAATTATTCCATGAAAGATTGAAAGAATTCCCTGATTTTTAGACAAAACAAAAAAATAATTGAAACTCCAAAATATGTTTATTGTAATACATTTTTTTGAATATCTTTAATAGACCTTTTCATTTCAATTCGGAAGTCGCGAATGCGTCTGCGGAGCAACCATGACAGTTCACCAATTTTAAAAGTTTCGGCCCTGTTCTATTAACATGTGTTAAAACTTTACTTTTGCTCATGTTTTTTTAGAGAAAAGAAAAAGTGTCCGGTGCAAAATTGGTATCGAATTTAAACATAAAAACACGCAGTTAAATTTGCAATTAAAAATATCACTGCAAGTGCAGAAAACAGTCAACTAAAAGAAGAAAAAAGAGTTGGTTCCAGAGTGAGGTTATGTTTACATATTGATATATTGTTATTCGCTGATGAAATGTGAAAAACACAATAGTTACCTCTTTCAATTTTATTTATTGTTTTTATTAACGTTGCATGTAGAAATGCAAAAAAAAACTAAAATAAATTATTGATATTTAAAAAATAACTTATTGATAAAATAATTAGTATATGCTCCGTCCTTAATTTTTTCATTAAATTTATTCCAGTATTTGTTATAATTATTATACTCCATTTTTATGCAACATATAATAATTTAGAACACTTTTTATAATTTTTTTCATGTCTGAATAATGCAATAGCTGTAAACAGGGCCGAAACTTGAAACGGAATTTCAATTCCATATAACGCATGCGCAAAGAAAATAATTGAAATGAAAAGGTCTATTGAATTTAGATATTTTACTAAAATTGTATTGAAAATAAAATTTTTTTAAAATAATTGAATCTTTTTAAGAAATTTAATTGAAATTACTTGAAATTCTGCAAAGAAAATTATCAACATCTTTTAGAATAATTGAATAAATTATGAAATTTTACTTATATTTTGAATTTAATGTTTTGAAAATAATTGAATTCTCCCAAAGAATTTAAATTACCTAATTGAAATTCTGCAAGTAAATTTATCAAACATTTTAAGAATAATTGAATTCTTTCGAGAAATTTTATTGAAAATAATTTAATTTATGCGAAAAATTTAACTTTTAAGAATAATTGAAATTTTGACAAGAAATTAAAAATAAAATTAAGAGCAATTGAATTCTTTCCAGAAATTTTATTTAAAATAAATAATAAAATAAATTAGGTAATTAAATATGCCAATTTTTTACAGATTCATAAAAATCTAGACGATCTCCAAAAGGCTGTTAATCCACAAATTTTGCCAAAAGAATATGGAGGAAAAATTCCTCTTTCTGAAATGATCGGTAAGATATGATAATTTTGAGATTTTAATTTTTATTTGAGGCTCCATATATTATAAAATTGCACTAATTTGGAAACTATTTTAATTTTATGAATTTTCTCCACTCTTAGATTCATTCAAGAAGGTCTTACGAGCAAAATGTCAAGAGCTAAAGGCCCTTGATGACATGTACATCGAATTGGCACCAAAAGAAAATTGTTCTGCACCAAGTGAAGGTTTGGGAGGTATTCCGGGCTCATTTCGTAAATTAGAAGTAGATTAAATTCATCAATCTGTTAGAATTATAATTTAGTTTACCAAGTTAGCATTTAGTTTACCGATCAATGAAAATTGATTGCGTCGCTAGATTTAATTTTACAATAATTGAATTTTTAATTTGATTTGAAAATATTCTCTTAATTACATTTAGACAAGAACTTTGCCTAGAGAAATCGAAAATCGAAAGCACTTCATTTTCTATAGAAAAGAATCGGATATAAAAATTAAAAACTTGAGGCCTTTTTTTATAGATACATAAATATATATATATTTTTTAGACCCTCAAATAATTTTTGGAAATGATATATTTTTTATAAGTGTGATAATGTGAAAATAGTTTAAGATTTACTGTATGTACTTATTTACCAATAATCAGAAATGATTCTGCTGGTGGTATAAGTTACCAATAGCATTAAGTCCTTAAAAGTGCTTTATACAATAAATTGTATAAAGCACTGCATTGATATAATCCGATTTTAATAATCGACAATAGAATTATTAATTTACTCTGTACATATAATTCTCGATTTTCAGTTAACGAAAATTGAAAAGTTCACTTTTTCAAGATTTCAATTTCAATATTTTCCATATAAATTATAATAAGACTTAAGTAAGATTATATACTACATAATTTTGACGATTAGTTTTAAAAAGTTATTTTCTTTTACATAATTTTTATGACGAATAATAAATTTACAATTATAAGAAAAAATAAATTTAGTTTAATATTACGGGTCATTTTATTGAAACAATAATAATAAAATTACATAACAAATTTAATAAAAATTCTTTCAAAAACTATTTATTATATTTACCTTCCAAAATTCTCTTATATCCAAATAGATTTTTAAAAACAGTATTTCTTGCTTGCTTTTCAAAACATGAATGACGAATTGTAATTATGAAAGGAAACTTCTATTTATGACGTTTATTTAGTTTTATAATTTAAGATTTTTATGTTAACATATTACTTCTCTTTTGAACAATCTGTTGTTCCTTATCAAGGGGTCATTCACAAAGCATGTGATACTTCGGGGGGAGAGAGGGTACCAGCAAAATATCACGCTACAAAAAAATCATCACGATAAGAGAAGAAAATAATAGCGAGAGAAGGGGGTTATTATAAAATTTTAAAACATATACGATTTCCAAGGACTTACAGGATTATTCTAAACTGATTTCTAGAGTCGAATTTTTGCAAAGTCTATATAAATGATTAAATCGATTAAATTAAACGAATTAAAAAATATAGTGAAATTATAATTTTCTAATTTTTAGGTTATGTTTGAATATGCTAAAGAAAACCGCAAATAAAATATGTATATTTCAATATTTACTATAAACGAATTCGTTCACTAAACGATAATTATTACGCAATGGTATTAATTTACAGTAAAAAAAATTACATTTACAGAATTTAAACTCTAAAACTACTCTTTTAGAATTTAAGTAATTTGAACAAAATTTTAACACGTTAATTCAAGCAGTTTTCAGAACTTGATAATGATTTTTCATAATTAAATTCGTATCGTATAATAAAACCGTTTTTAACCATGAATTTTGGAGTAATTCAAATAGAATGCTTTTTTTAGAACCAAAAACGTCAAGTTGCGGTGTAATTAGAGGTTATGTTACAAAGAACACATGTAATTATTTCCCTCTTTAGAATAAAAATACTCCTCTGACAATAATTAATGGAAAAAATATTTTGAACCAGTCTGGATTTGCTAATATTTCTAGTCGTAAGACTTATGAATATAATTTTACATATGTAGAAAAAAATATGAGAGAAAAAAGTATATTTAAATTCCCCCGACGGCAAATTAACATATTGTGTCACACACACACATGTATTTACACAATAAATCATTGTTATAATTTCCAATTTTCATTTACTCACGTATTATTAAAATTTCCGCATCAACAATAAACATTGTTTTTATTAACAACAAGCAACAACAACTACAATTATGGACAAGTGCACTCTGCACTGCAAGCAAGTGTCAAAAAGTATCGAAGGAAAATTTCAATATAAATCGAATGTCTCTTATCGAATCTCAGTCGATAAAATTATTATTTACGTCAGTCAGAAAGTTAAAACATATAAATCTAAATCTATATCTAGCATGTAAAGTGGAAGTTTGATGGTAATAAACAGTGATTATCTGCGTTTAGTAAATAAATAATTAGGACAAGTATTAAAAATATAAATTTAACAATTATATATTTTTTTATGGTGAAAAGAGATTAACATAACCTAACTTTGTAGTGACTTATGATTTATTTTTCTAGATGCTTTGTATTCGTAATTTTGGGAAAAATTGCATCTCACGGCCTGTCAGATTGATTTTGAAGGCTAGTTATTCGCGACGCAGTAACGAAAATACAAGTACTTTTGAAATAATAAAATCTAATAATGGAGAATCTGTTGACGGTATGTATTTGCGAATAAATTCATTATTTTGAGAGTTTACGTCACTTATTTTTTGTTATGATTAAAACTACTAAATTTATTTTACAATTTTGCAAATTGACAATTTACAAATTTTTTTTATTAAATTATCATTTTTTTTTATTATTTGTCAGATTTCGATAACACTGTTTTCGGGGCGAATCCAAACTGGGAATTGCTCGCACCTCGGGGATTTAGGTTTTATTTACCGGGAAGTATTGGCCCTGGTTGGCTAGATGCTTCAACCATAGCACAAGTAGAAACACATTCGGAAATTTTGCCCGCTGATGATGCATTTTTGAATGAAATGGCATCGAATAGTAAAAGAAATGCAAGACGACGAAGAAAAAAGAGTGATCATCCTATTTTACATTTTGTCGCCCAACAATGTCCTATACTTTTGAGAAAAGAAATATCAGAATTGTTTCCAGGATGTCCGGAAGTGCATTCGCCGCAACTCACCATAATAAGTCTTAGTCAAAAGATGCATGAAAAAACAGCGAGATGGAGTAAGGAAGAGGAAACTGAGAAGGTTGCCAAATATGTGAGTACCATTCGACTGTTTTCAATAACAAGCTCACTGAACCTTGAACTTTGCTTTAATAATTATAAATTCATGCCAACAGTTTGTACTGGCAGCATCTGATATTTGTTTGAAACTCAAAATGATAGGATATTGGTCGGATTTCATTAATCCATTCAGTGGACAACCGTATAATAATATTCTGAAAATTAGCCCCTTTTACAAATCAAATCCACGTAAACGATGTTTGGATTTTAAAATTGATCAAAAAGATAATTGTAAATTAATTTCTTATGATAAAAAAGCCAACAACTTTATCGGTAAGTTTTGTGTTTATATTTTATATCTTATAAATTATAAAAATAGAATAGAGTGCAATTTTTTTAATAGAATCAATCCACTATATTTGGACGAAGCTGCTTGAATTCAATTTTGACATTGTATCTATTTCTAGTAATTGAAATGAAAACAAATCAGTTTAAATAGTAAATATTTTTTTAACACTTGAAAATTCGTTTCAAATATAATGAATTGAACTATTTTTTTATTCTTATGCTCAAAAAATTTTGAACATTCAAATAAACGATATTTTTTCGATATCAATTTTTTTTATAAATTACTCACTAAAATAAGTGAACGCAAATGGGAAATTTTTAAACTTCATAAACTCTTTAAAAAATTCACTTATTAAGTACATAATTAATTATTGTTTCTTTTCAAAAAATTTTCGCAAGAAATCGTTTATTTTCATAAATAATAACATTCTTCGTAAGAATTCAATTATTTTTGTAAATTGAAAAATTATCTGCAAAAATTCAATTATTTTCAATACAATTCTAATAACATTTTTCGAAACAATTCAATTATTTTCTGAAATTTTAATAGATTCTTGGAAACAATTCAATTATTTTTAAATAAATAGTAAAATTCTTCGCGAGAATTAAATTATTTTTATAAATAATAAAATTTTTCTCAATAATATAATTATTTTCAACACAATTTTAATAGAATTTTTCAATGAAATTTTTAACTATAATTATTAACAGACACAATTATTTTAAAAAGTTAAAAAAAATTTTTTGTTAAATTCAATTATTTTCATAATTTTCAATTAAAATTATTAAGGAAACTCAATTATTTTTTAAAAATTCAAAGAAATTGTTCAAAAGAATTTAAGTAGGATTTTCAAAAATTTTAGTAAAATTCTTCGCAAGAATTCAATTATTTTCATATGAAATAATAAAATTTTGCTCAGTAATTCAATTATTTTCAACACAATTTTAATAAAATTCAATAATCAAATTTTTAATTATAATTATTGAGACACAATTATTTTAAAAAGTTAAAAAAAATTCTTTGTTTAGTTCAGTTATATTAAAAATTTCCAATTTGAATTATTAATAAGAATACATTATTTTAAAAAAATTAAAGAAATTCTTCAAAAGAATTTAAATATTTACAAAAACTAATAAAATTGTTTAAAATAATTTAATTTTTTATTAATAATTTTAATAAAATTTAAAAGTAAATTTATTAATTACAATTATTAACAAAATCGATTATAATAAATTAAAGAAATTTTGTGAAAGCATCCAATTATTTAACAAACTTGTTATACAATTTTCAGAAAAATTCAATTATTTTCTAAAAATTTTAATAAAGTTCAAGAATCTAGTGTTTAATTTTATAATTATTAGCGAACACGATTATTTTTAAAAGTAAAAAAAATTTTGTGTTTAATTTAATTATTTTCAAAAATTTTAATTTAAAATTATTAAAGATCCAGAGAAATTCTTCAAAACATTTTAATTAGGATTTTCAAAAATTCTTCGCAAGAATTCAATTATTTTCATAAATAATAAAATTCTTCGTAGGAATTTAATTATTATTTTCAGTAGAATTTTAATAAAATTCAATTCAATAATCAAATTTTTAATTATAATTATTAACAGACACGATTATTCTAAAAAGTTGAAAATAAATTCTTTATTTAATTCAATTACTTTCAAAATTTTCAATTAAAATTATTAAAGAAGCTCCATTATTTTTTAAAAATTAAAAGAAATTCTTCAAAAGAATTTAATTAGTATATTTTCAAAAATTTTAATAAAATTCTTTACAAGAATTCAGTTATTTTCATAAATAACAAAATTTTTCTCAGCAATTCATTTATTTGCAAATATTTTGATAACATTCTTTGTAAAAATTCAATGATTTTCAATATATTAATTAAAAAATTTTAAATATTTAAAAAGAAAAATGATTGAAAAAATTAGGAAACAAAAAAGCAATTAACAACTGACATCAAACTGCGAACGATTATTAAAAAGATTTGAAAAAGAAATAAATAAATTTCATTTATTTGAACGTTCAGAACTTCAGTGACACTTATTTTTTTATGAATCAATAATACATTTCTAAAAAATATGCAGTAAAAAATTAATAAATTTGTTTATTTAGGTAACCTGTACACAACAGCGCCCTCATCATTTCTAAAAGATATAATATATGAAAAAAATGTTGAATAATTTTTAGCATGCCCGAAAATAAATACTTTGTTAATAGTTTCAATGTTTAATATTATAAAATAAATTAAAATTTGGTCCAAGATCAATGAACATATGTACGTGACTGAAAATTGAAACTTGTATAAATGTATTCATTTTAGTGAAGATAATCTGACAACAAAATAATTAAATAGTTAAAACGTTATTAAATTAAATAATTGAGAAAGATGATTATTGTGATTTAGTTGTTTTCCAATAATCAATAAAGTTCAATTATTAAATTTAATTAAATTCAACTGTAAGATAAAATAAAACTTACGCTTCAAAATACACTATTTTTGTGTAAAATATTTATTTATTATAATTTATCGTTTAATAAATAAATCGATATCAAATAACACCAATTTTTTACTCGATAATTTTTACCAAACTCTTTAGTAAATTCGAAAATAAATTTGAAAATGAATTTGAAAATTTAATATTTGTTTGTTAATTTTGTTATTGTATGCAAAGTTTGATTAAATTTAAATTTACGTGACCTTTATGTTTCACAAAAGATGTAATCCACACTTTGCTAATTAAGTTGACAATAATTTTCTCTCTTCTTTTTTATTTACCACACTTTTAATTAAGTTACGATGTTTGAAATTTTTTGTAATTACATTTTATTTTCGTTATATATAGTGAACGCCTTTAAAAGTAAACTTCACGTACTGCGTTAAAATTTACTTTATTTTTTATTGAATTGTGGTTTGCAGAAGCTATAGTGCATTTTAGAAATAAAAAATGTTATTTAATTTTCAAATTATTGTAATTTTTGTCTAAATTTATTAAAGTGTAATATTTGCAAAGGGAAGATTATTAAAAATTGTCTTTATATTTACAAAATGATTGCAATTTCTTAAAAAATGTTTTAGTTTATTTTTAAAATCGATGATAAAAGTAATCTCCAGATTGACAAATATTTTTGTTCTTGCAGTATTCTATTTCATAATATTTACTGGGAAAATATTGTTCCTTAAACGTCATTTCAGCTTGGAAAGTAAGTTTAATAAATTCTGCTTGAAAGACTTGAGTAAAGATATCTTTGCCGCTTTTCAGATTTCACGGTATATAAGTTTTTTAATCAATTTTACAAAAAAAAATCAAAGTCAATAGTTTTTTCAATATTACAGAATTTGAAAAAAATAATTTTTATTCATTTTTGAAGAAACAAGAAAATATTATTAGTTATTTTTCTTTTTTCATTTTGAAAAGAAATTAAAAATCTTTTTGATTTTGAAGAGAAAAATTTTTCAAAGGCCTAGAATTACTTTAAAATTGAATATTCTCGTCAAGTTAAAATCAAATTACGTTCTTTCATATGATGTCAAATGAACTTGAGCAGAAAAAATATGGCATTTACACGTGAATTCATTTACACGTGTGCGCGTGTTAGAATCACAAAAATTCATCACGTTTTTCTTCTCTATTTCAAATAGAAAATTTTTCCTTCAACTTTGTCATTATTATTATTCATATTTCTGCAACAAATTGACGTAAAAAAATGTAAACTAAAAGGAAAGTGAAAGAAAGGTTATATTTATAATTTATTTAAAAATAGTTCTTTAGGAATAAAAAAACATTTTTTGTTTTGTAACCATTTATTATTATTTATATACAATATCGTACGTATTCTGACACTTGACACACTTTTGAAGTATGTCTCAAATCCATTTCAGTTTGAAAAAATATCAATTGACTCGAAACCCATTTTTTGCTCTCTTTCTCTCTCTCTCTTTCTCGCGCTCGCACTCTCTTTCACTCTTTCTTTTAAACTTATAATTCATTTTTCGACCGAACTCTTAATTTTCCTCTTCTATTGCACCTGTCATATTTCGTGAACTTAATATTTAAAAATTATTATAAAAATCTCGGAAGTCATTACATGTTTCTAATGGTGATATTGGAAAATAAAATGTATTTAAAAATTCTTCTGAATAAAGTGTTAGACACAATATTCTTTTTTACAGATATTAGTAAAAATTTAGTAAAAACAGTAGTAAAAAAAAATAATTATTATGGAAAATAAGTGAGGGATTTTGGAACGAATTTTTTTTTCTCGAATTTAGTTCGATCGAAAAAATCAAGCAATAAAGTCTTGAATGAATATATTCTACTTGTTCCACTCACCATTTTTTTTATATGTATGTATGTAATTCAGTTGATTCACTTAATTCGTTAAGATCATAATACCGACACTATTTTGCTAATAACATTTTTATTAAGTATTTCATCGTTTCACTATCGAACGCATTTTTGCGTTACGATATGTTTTGCGATTTTCTGTCTCATGATAAACAAATCCAAACGCTTTTACCCCATTCTATCAATTATTTATAGAAAATGAATTTTTAATTAAACGAAAAAATTTGATATGAATGTATTTTTTTAAAGAGAGGAAAGCGTTTGCTACTGTCATCATATACGAACCATTTTGACATTTTAAAACTCGAATATTTTAATTGAAATCAATATTATTCGAATGTTGATTTTTTTTACAAATCTTCAAGGACAACAATTTTTATCCAAATATAATTAATTTCAGTTTCAAATTTCAGTCTTTTTGAAAATTGAATTCACTGCATTTCTTTCTTTTTTTTCTGAAATAAATAATTGCCTTGAAAAAACGATTGATTTGTATTTTTTTTTTCAGCGGCGAAGACGAAATTTTGAGAAATCGTAAAATATTTCTTTTGTTTTGTAACTTCATTCGATAAAGCTTCGCAAAAAATTGTTGGCTTTGTACACATTTGCTTTTTATGCAATTAGGAACACAAAACGGGCTGTAGCCTGGCAAAATATTTAAAGATTGTAAAAAAGGCCAAGCCCGCAAAAAACTATTCTATCGTCTATCGGACTAATTTTACATTTTATTTTGATTATAAAATTTTTCCGCATTTTTCTTCACAGCTATAATTTTAAGTGTTTTAAATTTCTTTTCACTAAGGTCCATATTGAAAACGAAAGAAAGATGATTGAATTAAAATTCTTATGAATAAATAATTCTTACATATAAATAAATAAAGAAATAAATTATAAAAAGTATTCAGTAAAGTATTTTTTTTAATTTAAAATTTTTTTTTATTTTTAATATATTTTTAATTTTGAAAAGTTTAATTTTAGATTTTAATAAGAATGGACCTTAGTTTTACATAAAAGCTAGACTCGCTCATCACAAATTCTTGGAATTTGCAGAATTTCTTTTACGTGTTTTTTTTTCTTATTTTGCGCGCTGTACAAGCTAAATTACAAGTAGCTATAAATTTTCAGACCTTTCTGGAGAATTTTTCCAGATTTTAAATATGGTCGTTCTTTTTAGGAACGTGAAATGCAAAATGATTGGCGGCTTAGAAATTGGATGTTGTTCAGTTTGGAAATACAAACAGAAAAGGCAAGAAGAAAGCATTTCCTTTGACTGCTTGTCTACAACATGTACATTTTTTTTGTAATCTTTGTAAAATTTCTTCAATTCTCTTTTCATCATTTCTTTCCAATTTTATCACCCTCCATCGTTTTCAAATAAAATCTACAAAATTTGAAGAATTCTGTCAGCAATATGACATTTTTGATTTTTTTTTTTTTAATAAAAACTGGCGTTTTCATTAAAATTTTTAATTTCCATTTTGAATTGTAACTATGAATTTCTTTAATTTTGAATCTTTTTGATTTATTTTTGAATGAATCAATTTTAAAATTTTTTTAAAATAATTACTATCTTTAATAATTCTAACTGAAAATTTTAATTATTGAATTTTATTAAAATTGCATTGAAAACAATTTAATTTCTGTAAAGAATTTTATTATTTATGAAAATAATTGAATTCTTGCGAAAAATTTTATTATTTACAAGTATAATTGAATAGGTACTTGCGAAGAATTTTTTAAAAAATTTTTGAAAATCCTTAATTAAATTCTTTTGAAAAATTTCTTTGACTTTTTTTTTTAAATAATGGAGTTTCTTCAATAATTTTAATTGAAAATTTAGAAAATAATTGAATTCATTTGGCAAATTTTATTAAAAGTTTTGAATAATTACTGAATTTTTTTGTAAAATTTGATTCAATTTTTTTTAAAGTAAAGTAAAACTGCCATTTTCATTAAAATTTTACATTTAAATTTTGCATCCAAAAATTAACGTAGAATTCGAATATAATTCGATTAGAAAAAATTTAGAAATGGAAAATTTTTAATTATACAGAATGAGAGAGTCGAGCTTCAATGACGAAAGATTGGAAACAAAACACACTGTGCATTGAAATCTAAGTTAACAAACATGTCGACAATATTTGCTTTTTGGGCATTTTGTCAATTCTTTCCTTTTCTAATGAAAGGAATTTTTTTTAGAAATGTAACAGCGAAACGGAACACTCGATGATCTATCTATTAAGAAATACATTGAGAGCCTTTTAACGTATTTTTTTAATATAGTTTTAATAAGTCTTGTAAATGGATATTCACATAATTTTTAATCTAAATTCCATTGATTCCATTCGAGAGAATGTTCCTATCAAATTGACAAATATCCAATACAATACAAGAAAAAAAAATAGGCCATCAAAGTTTTTCTTAAAGAATGAAAATTTAATATTTGAATATTCTATTTTTTAGTAGAATTAAATAGTGATAAATATTCCAAATAACATTTTTCCGATTATCTATCATTTTTATTATTTATTCAAATCTTCAATGAAAATCTTGTAATAATTATTAATTATTATTATTATAATTATTTTTATTAATAATGGTGTTATATTGCGTGATATAATATACACTTATTAACTAGTGGACCTCGCATGCTCGCATTAAATTCAAAAAATTTATATTTATCTAAAATTGCTCGTTCATTAACTTCCTCGAGTTTTTATTTATTTATTATATAGGATTTTTAATAAACGATTTTTTTTAAAAACGTGATTTCACAAACTGAATTTCTTTTCGATTTTCGAAACGTCGTCCGTTTCTTGAAAAGCAACAACACGTTTTATTAATTAGGTATAATATTTTTAATCTGTCGACGTACAAAATAGTAATGTAAAAAATTGTGTAAATTCATACGTGTTATAACCTGGATTGACCAAAAGATTTATTGGTCGTCGATTAATAACGACAATCTTGGATATACATATATAAGGTTATTTTTTATATAGATCAAGCGTATTCAAAAATGGATAAGGGTTAAAAAATACAGCGGGTATAATTTTCGGGTACCCATTATTTCTGATTTTTTTTTTTTTAGTTTCTTTTAGAGTTCTACTTTTTTGTCTATACTTTAAAATAGGTGTGAAAATAATTTTGAATCGTGGACTCTTTTTTTGGACCTCGCTAATTTTCGCTTCTTTTTTCTTTTTAATTGAGTTCGACAACTCGAAATTAATACCGACTCGTAGGAAGGCGAGCGAATAATGACTTATCTAAACATTTCTAGCAACTACAGTCTCTTAATATTTTCCTTTTATTCACCCAATTTTTGAACTACTTTTACAATAGTAAAATCGCGAAATTGCCTTGGAGCGCTGAATATTTTTCTGAAAGTAAGAGGGAAGCGCTTCAAAAGACATGAAACTAAAACAAGAAAAAGAATATCACATTTGCAGACTCTAGCATACATTCTTTTCTCTCTCCTTAACTATGTATATCAAGGAAAAATCTTTCGCATGAACAGTTGGCGCAAAAATGCTTATTCGGACAAATATTCCTTTTTTCAAAAAAGATAATACTTTTTTATTAACTTATATTCAGCTAGTTCAATGCTAATAATAACAAAACTGGAATAATTACTTAATCATTTTTTTAAATCTAATTTCTTTCTAATTTCTTTGAATCATAATTGAAAATGCCAACAATTCAGAGATATACAATAAGTTAAGAGTATTTTTCTTTTAAACGTACGTTTTTTTTCTTTATGATCGTTGACTAAATCGCAGGCGAGATTTTCTTTTCTATCTTTGAAATTCACCATAGAAAATAATTCATGTGACCAGATTCTGATGTGTTGTATATTTTATTATCTGTTAATTCACGAGAGATAAAATGTCGCCGATGATTTCTCATGAACGCATCTGCAAAACTAAATTATTCAATTCATGCATGATTAAATAAACAGTTCATATATCAGTTAAAAAATAATGATGTGTTTCAAAATAGTAAAAATAACACAATTCAATTAAGGACGCACACTCGAGTCCCGCACAAACATTAATTGAATATTGTATTATTCATTTACTTTTTCAAAATCATCATTTGCTACTCTCTATCTGAATTAGTAAACATTTTAACAAAATTTCAATCAATCATGGAGTATTTGTTAATGAATTAATTCAATTTTACTAATTAATTACTGAACAAATGGTTTTTTCTTTCTAATCATTGGTAAAATTTAATTGATTTACAGCTGGTAATGTAATTACTAATTCATCAAAATCATTGGATAAAATTCTCGCTAATTCAGATTTTGAGAGTGAATTAAAAATTTGATAATTAGATAGATAGGTTTCGCACTCGTTAATTAATTAAAAAAGAAGTAGAAAAACGTTGCTTTATATGACTGAAAAGAAAGAAAATGTATAGCTATTGAAAAATTAAGTTTGATGACTGAAAAAATTTAGTTCAATCGATTTAATGTGCAAAAAAAGTATTTCATTTTCTTCATAGTTAACAGAAAAATTTGATTATGTATTTCTCCAATTTCCAGAAAGAATTACTTTTCCTATTTTGGTAACAACTTCAATTCTTAATTTTTTCCAAAATTTAATTATTTAGCAAATTTTCAGTAGGAATTCTTCAAAAATACGATTATATTTCAAAATAATTTTTAAAAGTAAAAAAATTAAATTCTTTAAAATATAAAAATTTTAATTAAATATTTAACAAAAATACTTATTTAAATTTTAACTTCAATTTTAAATTTCTAATTTAAATTTGGCTTCCAATTTTAAATTTCTAATTTAAATATCAATTTAAATTTTAAATTTCCAAAAATTTAAATTTGAATTTAAATTTTAAATTTCCAACTTCAATTTGAAATTAGTTTTGGGATTCCAACTATCTTCAAAAAGTTTTGAATATAATATTTTAAAGAACCTCATATTTTTCAAAATTTCTAAGTTCAATTATACAATTTAAATAATTTCTGTTAAATAAATATTTAAATATTTATTTATTCTTCCGCTAAATTAATTCATTTTAAATAATTTGAATGTAAAATCTTTTGAAATTTAATTATTTATAAAAATTACTACTGTAATTCTACCAAAATTCGATTCTTTTTCAAAATTTGAACTAAAATTCTCTTTCAAACTAATTCTCATCAGAATTCAACTAAGAGAATTGAATTACATAAATACACAAATAAATAATTGATTAAAACCTCATTGTTCTTAGAATTTCTAAATTAAACTATTCAAAATCTCAGAAATTTTTGTTAGGAAAATATTTAAATACTTTATTGTTATTTACTTTTCTACAGGAAAAACTTTTGTTTATGTCTAAAATTTTGTTGTTTACTTCTTAGTTTCCTAACTTTTTAAATATTTTTTCTTTTTAAATATTTACAATTTTAAAACTAATTTATTGAAAAGCATTAAATTTTTGCAAAGAATTCTATCCAAAAATTTGATAATAATTGAATTCCTTTGAAGAATTTTATTAAAATTTTTGTAAATCGTTATTAAATTCTATTGAAGATTTTCTGTGAATTATTTAAAAAAATTTTAATTTGTCGGTTAATAATTATAAATTAAAATTTTAATTGTTTTTATTAAATTTTATTAAAATTGTGTTGAAAATAATAGAATTCCTGCGAACAATTTTACTATTTTTAAAAATAATTGAATTTTTTGGCAAGAATTTGATTACAATTTTTGAAAAAAACGGAATTTTTTATTTTTTAATATCCAGAAATTTAAAAAAAATTGTAATGTTAGTAATTGAACCGCCGGATCGTAGAAGGGCATATAGCCAATGTAATTCAAATGGGCTATATGCCCTTCTACGATCCGGCGGTTCAATTGAATTCCTGCGAAGAATTTTAATATTTCTAAAAATAATGGAATTCTTGAGAAAAATTTTTGATAATAATTGAAATAATTTTTAGAATTTTATTTAAATTGTATTACAAATAATTAAATTCCTGTGAAGAATTTTATTATTTACGAAAACAAATGATTAATAATTATTACCTAAAACTTTTGAAAATTGAATTTTTTTGACGAATTTTTTAAATATTGCTTCCTCGTGGATGAAGTATTTTATATCGAGAAATTTAACAAAATTGTATTGAAAGTAATTAAATTCCTGCAAAGAATTTCAATGTTTAAAAAAAATTAAAAATAATTTAATTCTTGAGAAGAATTTATTTTATTAAATTTTTTGGCGAATTTTATTATTACAATTTTTTTAAATAATTGAATTTCATTGAAAAATCCTATTAAAATTTTATTATTAATAAAAATAATTGAATTTCGGACAAGAATTTTATTACAATTTTTGAAAATAATTAAAATCATTTGACGAATTTTATTATTAAATTTTTTTAAAAAAATTGAATTTCATTGAAAAATTCTATTAAAATTGTATTAAAAATAATTGAATTCTTGAGAAGAATTTTATTATTAATGGAAATAAATAATTGAATTTCTGGCAAGAATTTTATTATCTATAATTTTTGAAAATTGAATTTTTTACAAATTCTTGCGAAGAATATTAATATTTTTAAAAATAATTGAATTGTTTCGACGAATTTATTAAAATTTTAGAAAATAATTCAATTCTTTTGGAAAATTAAAAAAAATAATTGAATCTTTTCGTGAAATATTGTGTCTGAAATTCTGTGGAAGAAAGGCATAACAGCATAACTGCATTTGTCATGATAACGAGATAAATTAATTTTAATGTTCTCTCACTTCTGTCAATTCAGAAAATCAACAGATTTGTTCGGTCTTTTGCATTTAGTATTATTATTTAAAATATTTTCAAAATTCTTTTATAACATTTAATAAAACACACGATTTGATATAAATTTTGATAATTTTTCATCGGAATCATGAGTTTTATTGCACTTATGCGGTTATGCAAGTTCAGATTGTATATGAGTCCAACTTCAGACACTTTTAATGTCACAATTTATTTTGGTTTGATTTGTCATAATTAAAAAATTTTTCATACAAAGACAAATTAAACTATTAATTCGTTAGAAAAAATTATAAGAGTTTATTTAGTTATAAAATTTATTTTTTTATAAAATGTTTTTAATTTATTGAAACGAGAAAAAAATTTACTTTACTGTTCAACTTAAAGAATTTTTCAATTTATTTTTTTAAATACTTTCCAAAATTTTTTAGAATAGAAATACCCTTAAAAATAAGTACATAATTAAATGCACAATTTATGCTATAAAAAATTTGTTCCAGTCTTATTAAAATAAATATATTTAATTTAAAGTACGAAAAATGTATTTTACTAAAAACATTTTATTACAAAATTCTTATTGTTTTTATTCATAAAGGTTATTTTCATTTTTAATTATGTCAATTGTTTTTTAAGCTGAATGCAGTTATGTTATTATGCTGGTCTCCTTTTGTCAAAAACGCAATTATGCGATTATGTTTTCCATTATTTTCTACATTAATAACCATTTTAATGATTTTTCAGCTATTGAACTTTGAAGAGCAATATTAAATATATACAAATCTGATGTTATCTCAAATTTGATAAAAATGTCAGTTATGCTGTTATGCCTTTCTTCCACAGAATTATACCTGTATAAAAATTAAAGTTTAATTTTAAAAATAAAAAAAAATTGTAATTTGCATAATAAGAAATGGAATAAGTTGTTTCGCAAAAATTTGTTTAAAATAGATTCGTAAAGAAATTTGTGAATTTTAGATTTCAGTAGATGAGTGCGAAGCCTGAATAGAAGAGAGAAATTAAATTATAAACAGCAGAAAAAGTGTAGGAATGAAAAATTTTTGCTTTTCAACAATTTAAAAAAAAATGAATGTGAAGTTTTTCAATTTTTATGTTAATAGAGTTTCTCTGTAAATACAAATTATTGGAACCTCGTCCAGTTATCAAAGCAGTAAAATTTTCTCAATTTAGTTTAATAGTTTTTTTTTTTTACTGGAAGTTTTAGTAGACTTTTTTTCATGAATTAAAACTTTATAAGAAAAAAAATGCCAGATGTGACGCAATTTAGTAGAGGTCATTAAAATTTGAAGTCTCTAAAACAGAGGAGCTTAGATTGTTTTATCAGAAAGAGTAAATTACCATTTTAGCGACAAAGTTCGAAATTAATTTTCTATAGAACAAAAAAGCTTATCAGACAATTAAAGCGAGTTTAATAGGATTGTGCTTGTTTTTTCTTTAGTTTGGTGTAAGTGAGAGTTTCTCACCAAAGTTGCGCTTTAGTCCCCATGGAAAGACGACGTGAAAAAGTTCAGCTCACAATCAGTGTATATATAATTGTTTTTCTTTTACAGAACGTGTAAATTCTCGCAGCTCTTGGACTTGCTGTCTCTCGCCCAAACTTTGCCCAACAGATTTCGCACTTTAAGACTGGTACTGGTTCGACTGCCGCGATATTTCTTGGGCGAATTATTTTCTGAACACGATCCCAGTGGTGATCTGCTGCGATTCTTGCGGGATCTCTTTCTAAATAGGTCACGCGTCCGTTCGGGATTCTCGAGCTTGAGTCGAATCTGAGTCAAAAGTCCCACGAGAAGCTCGTCCACGTTGTGATTGATCATGACGGAGGTTTCCACAAACTTGCAGTCGTACGAGCAGGCCATGGATTTACCCTCTGCAACAAAGGTTTTGATTTAACGGATAATTAGCCAGCTCTTGGCTCTGGAGAATTCAGTGAATTTGTAAACCTGGGCTTTGCATCGTCCCAACACTTTGGGATCTGTAATGTCGAATGTCTATATTTGCCGAGGCAATCACATGCTTACACAATTGGACCAGGCACAAAATATATTTTCAACTAAATTTTAAGGCTAATTAATTGGAACTTTCAGGAAAGCCTCAAAATGTAAGTCTCAAAGTTTCATCCGCCATGATAAAAAAATATTGAACATTTCTTCAGAATTACATTTTGAGTCATTTCTGAAAGTTTCAATAATTTCGCCCAAACACTGAGAAAAACATTTTTTAATTCAAAAATATATTTGTATTAAACATATTTTTAAATTATTATTAAATAAATAAAATTATTAAATCAAAATTATTATATTTAATTCAAAAAGAATTTTTGGTTGACTGTATAATAAATATATATTGTTTTCTCTGTGAAGTTTTTTTTCAAAATACAAAAAAATTCTCAATGTAATGAAACTTTTTTTCAGAATTACCTTTTTAATTCTTTCCTGAAAGATTCAATTAATTTGAAAAAGTATTCTTTTCAACATAAAAAAAAAATTCTTAATGCAATGAAAAAAGGAAAAAATGTTTTCTAGGAAATTTTATTTTTTTTAATTACACTTTGAGTCTTTCCTGAAAGTTTCAATTTATTTGATCGAAAGTTTTTTTCATTGTAAAAAAAATCTAAAATATTTTAATGAGATTCTTTGAAAGAATTTAATTATTTTCAAAAATTTTACTAAAATTTCTAGAAGGAATTGAATTTTTTTAAAAAATGTTAATAAAATTCCTAAAAAAATTTTCATTTTTTATGAAACAATTAAATTATTATTAAAAATTGTAATAAAACTCTTCTCAAGAATTCAATTATTTTCAATACAATTTGAATAAAATTTCTCGTAGGAATTCAATTACATATTTTTAAAAATTCTAATGAAATTCGTCAAATAATTTAATTAGGTATTTCCAAAAATTTTAATAAAATTCTTCTCAAAAATTCAATTATTTTTATAAATATTAAATTTCTCCATATAAAATAATAAATTTAAATAATAAATTTTCCAAAAAATTCAATTATTTTCAAAAATAATAAATTTTTTTTACAGGAATTCAATTGACAATTTAAAAAAATTCTCGATGAAATTCCATTATTTTAAAAAATTTTAATAAAATTCATCCCAAAAATTCAATTATTTTTATAAATATTAAAACTCTTTGCAGAAATTCAATTACTTTCAATACAATTTTATTTAAATTTCTTGATACAAAAAAATAAAAAATCCTCCTAAAAAATTCATTCACTTTCAAAAATTTTAATAAAATTCTTTCCACGAATTCAATTATTTTCTTAAATAATACAATTTTTCGTAGGATTTCAATTATTATTAATACAGTTTTAAATGAATTTCTCGAAAAATGAAATTAATTTTTAAAAAGTGAATTGAATTACTTAAAAGAATTTAATAAAAATTAAAATTCTTCGAAGGAATTTAATTATTTTCTAAAATTTTGATAAAATTCTTTATAAGAATGGAATTTTAAGAAATAATCACTTATTCCAGCAATGAATTTAAAATTTAAATAATTAAATTCTCGTAGAACTTTCTAATAAGAATTGATTTGAAAATAAATTTCAATTAAATTTTTAGATAATAATTGAATATTCAAACCGTTTTAGTGTGAATGTTTAGAAATATAATTCAATTCTAAAATATTTAAAAAATTGAAATCTTTAAAAATTTTAATTTTTTTTTAAACTGTAATATTATTTAAATATTTACTTTTAAAAATTACCAATTTATTATTTTTCTGAAAAATTATTAAAGTTTTGAATAATTTTATTAAAAAATTGAATTTTGGAAGAATTATTACAGTTGTCATTTTTGGCAATAGTTAAATTTCGTATAGTGATTTTACATTAGAATTTTGAAAAATTATAATTCCTGCGGAAAAGTAAATTAGAATAATTATTAAACATTTTTTTTACAAGAATTATTGTCCTTAATTTAATTTTGAAATTAGGAAAAAATGAGCTTTTTGATGAATTGTAATTAAATTTTTTTTTAATAGTTAAATTCTCGTGAGTAAGAAGATCTTTTTTTCTTTCATTTTAAAAATTATTTTGAACTAGAGCAGTATTTTCGAAGAATTCTAACTAAAAAGCAGTAAATAATTGAATTTTAGAATTTAGAATTTATGTTATTACCAGATACGAAAAAAAGTTGGTATTTTTTATAGAAATCAGGAAAATCTGAGGAAAATACAGAATCAAATTTTTGTGATTATTGTCAATCAACTGAAATCAAATATAAATCTAGTTTTTTAGTCGTCAAATTTATATTTACGATATATCTACTTTTTTACTATACTCTTTTTATAGTCTTAAAGCTGCTTTTTGCTACTTTTTTAAAATTGCGAAGCCTGCAATAAAAAAATGGAATATTTCCTAGGAAACATTTTGAGTCTTTTATGAAAGTTTCAATTAATTTGACCGAAAGTTTTTTTCAAAGCAGATATTATTGTTTGCATGCTCTTTTAAATATCAAGAATATTTCACCGAAAAATATTATGTAAATTGCAATCAATACAAAACGAAAGCAAACTCAATTGCGAATGGTTTTTGTAATTTTAATCAACATGAAAAACTCAATTAAAAAGAAACATACTTTCCACAATCATTTAGAGGTTGATTTCAATTAATTGCCAGTAATCCAATAATTTCTCTTGATTTTGAATTGACAAAAAAAAAGAAAAAAAAAGAATAAAAATATTGTAATTGCTTTTTTTGAAATAACAGTTGTTTGGATTATTGAAAAATATTGCATTGAGAAAAATTTTCTCGTTATGATGCGAGACAATTTTTCCAGTTATTGAATTTAAGGGATGTTTTTTTGTGAATATATAAATTTTAATGATGTGTTTTAATTTAGGATTTTTTTTTGTTTTTAAACTATAAAATGTGTGTATATATGTGAAATGGATTTGTCAAAAGGAGAGATGCAGTGTGAGTGTGTGTGTGTGTGTGAGGTAGCAACGAACAATAATTGCACGTACCTTCAGTCGACACCAATCGGCACCTGACTAGGTCAACTTTGTTTCCAACAAGGATAACTGCTCGAGCGGATACATGATCGCTGCGCCAAAGCGTTTGAAGGACTTCTTCAGCCATCTGAATCGACGACCTATCGGTTGTTGAATAAACAACACAGTAAGCGTGTGGCTCATATGTTGCAATACAATTCTCCGGCTGCAACGAGAAAAAAACCAGGCATTTTATTCACTTCAATAGAAAATTCTAATAAAAATGTAAAAAACCATAAAAAAGACACTTCTTCAAACTTTTCTGCGTTTCAAGTAAAATTAGAAAAATGTAAATACTGCAGAAATTTTCCACTTGAAATAATATAGGGTTTTAGAAAAATTACAACTGAAAATTTACAAAGTAATTCAATTTTAGAAGAAATTAAGAATTTAAATTGTTACCAGTATAAAAAAGTAGTTAATATTCTTTCTGAAAATCAGAGAAATACATAATTAAAATTTTCCGTTAACCATAAAGTAAATAAACTACTTTTTTTGCACATTAAATTGACTGAAATTAATTTTTTCAGGACTTGAACCAAAAACGAAAAATTATGGACCATTTACGGACCAATTACTGACAAAAATGTAAATGTCATAATTTCAATTAAAGAAGAATTTTAGTTAAAAATTCTTCTTTAAACAAATTATTAATTATTTATTAACTATAATAATCTTCGTATTTCATTCTTTCATTTTTTCTGTTAGTTTTTCTAGTTAGTTATAGTCTAGTCTTTTTTTTTTTGCTTTAAAAAATATTGTTCGACAAATCGAAAATATGCAGGTATTTTTTCATAATTTATAATAAAATAATATTTGAAATTAACAAATTAAAAAATGCTAAAAAAATTATTAACAAATAAATTTTGTTTATTGTATTACAAACTAATTGCTTTATTTGCGAAAAAAACAATGCATATTCTCGAAAAAAAAATGTTTATAAATTTTATTTGTCAATTACAAATTTTAATTGAAAATGAAATTGAAATTTTTAAAATTTTTAAAAAATAAAGAAAAAAAATTGAGCAATTTATAAAAGTATTATTATATAAAAACATGAAGATATCGATTGCTCCGAGTCTTCGACTCGGAGTAATTGATTTCTTCCTGTTGTTTAATAATAATCAAAGATGACCGAGTGATAAAATCATTATCATTAATATTTTCTAGAATTTTTTAAGAAAATAATTAAATTCCTTAAATTTTTTTTTATTATTTATGTAAATAATTGAATTATTTCGAAGAAATTTATAAAATATTTGTAAATAATTGAATTCCTGTGACATTTTTATTATTTATTTTATATTATAAGAATATTGTTATTGTAACTTCTTCAACATTATTTTCATCATTTCAATTTAATTAATGTTTAAGGGCATTTGAACCATTATAACGTCACAATGTGTGCAAAGCATGAGTTTTAAAATTGTGACGTCATAATGGTTCAAATGCCCTTAATAGAATTTTTAATTATTTTTTATGAAAATAATTGAATTCCTTAAAAAAAAATTTATTATTTATGTAAATAATTGAATTATTGCGAAGAAATTTATCACACTTTTGTAAACAATATGTAGTGAAATTTTTATTATTGATGAAACTAATTAAATGTTTGCCTTCAATTTTATTAAAATTTTTTTTAATAATTGGGATTTTTACAAGAATTTTTTTTTAAATTTTGAATATAATTGAATTTTATTACTTTTGAAAATAATTGAATTTCTGCAATTATTTTTCATTTCTCCAAAATTGAATTTTTTTAGTGTCTTCAACAAAAATTTAAATTAGAAAATTTTGAAATTCTATTATTTCTAACATTTATTGCTAATTTTATTTGAAAATGTAAGTAAAAAATTAGCCGCGCGAATTGTTGCTAGTTTTTAATAATTTTCGAAAAAGTTCTTTGACAATTTTCTAATCCATCTGTTTACAATATTCAACTTTACGGAATTTCTATTATTCGTAAATTCTTCAATTAAATATATATTAGAAAATAAAAACTTTAAATAATTTTAAAAAAATTCAATTAAACTTTTTCAAAAAAATTAATTTCAAAATTCAATTATTTGTTAAAAATTCACGCTATATTGCTTTTAATACTTAATTATTATCTAAAATTTTAACTGAAATTTATCTTTAAATCGATTTTTATATTAGAAAATTCTACTAAAATTCAATTATTATTTAAATACAAAAAAAAATAATTTATTGAATAATTGAATGTTTTTTAAAATTGAATTCTCATAAAGAATTTTATCAACAAATTTTTAAATAATTGAATTCTTTTGACGAATTTTAATAAAATTTTTATGAATAATTACATTTTTCGAGAAATTTGATTAAAATTGTATTAAAAGTATAAATGAAATTCTGCGATGAATTCTATAATTTATAAAAATAATTGAATTCTCATAAAGAATTTTATCAACAAATTTTTAAGTAATTGAATTCTTTTAACGAAATTTAATAAAAGTTTTAAGAATAATTAATGTTTTCGAGGAATTTTATTAAAATTGTATTAAAAATAATTGAAATTCAGCATTGAGTTTTATTATTTATGAAAATATTTGAATTCTTGCGAAGAATTTTATTATTTCTGAAAATAATTGAATCCTTGTCAAAATTTTATTATTTATGAAAATAATAATTGAACTATTTAGAAGAAATTTATACAAAATATGTAAATAATTTAATTCCTGTGAAATTTGTATTATTTTATGCAAATAATTAAATTTTAATTAAATTTTTAAATTAATTAATTAATTAATTAATTTAGAAAAATTTTTTTTAATTTAATTTTTGGGTAGAATTTAATTTTATTTTTTTAAAATAATTGAATTCCTTTCGAAAATTTTATTTAAATAGTAGATATTGAATATCATTCAATTGAGAAATATTTTTAAAAATAATTGAAATTTTGCCAAAATTTTTATTATTTCTAAAAATAATTGAAATTTTGAAGTTAATTTTTAAAAATTTGTGAACATAATTGAATTTTTGAGAAGAATTTTATTACTTTTGAAAATAATTGAATTTCTGCAATCATTTGTAATTTCTCTAAAATCCTCCAAATTATATCGTACAATTTACGAACTTTCGTCCTTTTTTTTTATCAAATTACGGACTTTACGGACCTTTCTTTAAGAAAACTGACTTCTACGGACTTGTAGCAAATGTACGGAATTTTACAGGATTTATGGACCTAGTTCGAGCCCTGATTTTTTTTAGTCGTAAAATTTAGTTTTTCGATAGCTACATTTTCACTCTTATTTTCTTTCTTTTTAATTAGAAAGCAAGGGTCCAAACAGTTTTCCTAGTTTCTGTCAAACCTATTTTGAGGTCTATTAATTTAAAAATTGAAAACATTTAAAAGGAGAATTTTCTAAAATAAATAATACGCTATAGTTTTTGAACTATAAAGAATAATTTTAAATATGTGTTTGGAAAATAATTTCGCTTCCCTTCCGAGATTCTTGAAAAATCTTTTTAAGACGACGTTATGTCAAGTATTTTCTTATGAAAAGTTTAATAAAATGTTTGAGATTTCTGAAAATACATTTATTTTTTTTTCCTGCTAGTGATGAATGTGTTTTAAAGGAATTATATTGTCCTTGGTGGAGAGAAGAAAAATGAATGAATTCCTTCAATTAGTTTTTTAAAACAAATAAACTTTACCGATCGAGTTAAATTGCTCCTATTTTTCCAATTCCTCTATATTCTAAAACAACATTTTTTCTTGTTCTAAAAACTATTATTATTGCTTTGGGTAACATAATTTAATTTCTTTTTTGAATGTACAACTTGTTTAACAAGATAAACAAAATATTTACAATTTTATCGAAACGGTGATGAGTGCAAAAAAAGAGATATTTTTATAAATCAATTGTATTTTTTTTATCTCCACTATACTCTTCATCACTAAAGTGTATCATAACAATGTGTTTATTATCGTTGAAATTTCTTCTCTAATGAACTCTGAAGAGGAAAGTTACTAAATGCGGTAGACTGAACAAAAATATGGAAATTAATTCAAAATTGGAAAGAAATTATTTTCATATTTAGGTAAAAGTTATATATTTTCAATATTTTCGTTAATTTATTTTCAATAACTTCACCTCAATAAATTGAAAAAAGTGAAAATTTACAGATGCAATTAATATTTAAAACTGAATTTTGGCAATATCCAATTATTATCTATAGTTTTAACTAAAATTCATTTTTAAATCAATAATTATTAGAAAATTCTGCGAGAATTAAATTAATTAAATACAAAATCCTGCGATGAGCTTTATTGGTTATGAAAATAATTGAATTTAAAAAAAAAATGTTATTAAAATTTTTAAAAATAATTCAATTCCTTACAGAAATTTTTGGTTTTGTAGGTTTTGTAGGATTTGATGTTTACCGTTGTGATAGAAGTGTACATACAAGTGACAATTCTAGAGGAGGGGGTGTATTAATTGCTGTCAAATCTAACTTACGAAACTCTCAAATATTTTCTCATATAAATTCAATTGAACATTTATTTGTTAAAATTATTTTTAATAAGGAGCATTATTGTATTGGTGCATATTATATTCCTCCCAGTAATAAGGGGTGAATTAAAGTGGATTGGAGATTCAGACTCTGGTCACGTGGTTACAGAGAATGGAATTAGATAGAAATTATCAATTTAACAATAGAAAAGAAATTCATTAAGATTGCGGACAAAAACGGAATTGCGGTTTGGAATTTAAGGGCATAAAAGTACCAATCCACTTTAATTCACCCCGCTTATTACTGGGCTCCTAATGCAACTATTCAAATGTATGAAACTACATGTGAGTCAATGGAGTGTGTACTTGAAAAATTTCCATCCACAAAAGTGTGTTTCTTTGGTGATTTTAATATGCCCTACGCTGTTTGGAATTCTGATAGCAATCTTGGCCCTTTTTGCAATTTTTAAGCATTTTATGTAAGTTGATCTCTCAACTTACATAAATTAATAACAAGTATTGTATCAGACACACTTCATTTCTTCAATTTACCACAAATTAATTCTTTTTTAAATAATTATTGGTCTTTACTTGATCTTATTTTTTGCAATTTTTATGAATATTCGTTACATTTAGTTCAGGATGAAATTTTGTTAGAAGTTGATAAACATCACCCTCCTTTATTGTTTGT